ATCAACCATCCGGCCTGCGGCCCAAAACGGCCCGCTAGGGTGTTCAATCCGGCCGGCTTGATGAATTTTTTAAAGATAAAAACAATACACAAACACTTCATGTTTAGGAATATTTTTGGTAAAAAATATTAATTAGATATTAATATAAAATAATGATAAATATCTAATATACTTGAATATAAAATATATTTTGCATGAAAACAAAGGGGGAAAACATGGATTACTGCTCACTTCAAATAACTGAAGTAATACTCCACATTAATGTAAAAATAAATACTTCAAATTACTACAAGAATAAAATCCAAGTTGCAGCAACAATACTTACTAACTAGTAGTTTTCTTTTAATGTTGTTTGAGTTTAAACAGAATGAATTTCATGATGGTTTCACTCTGTTTAACGTGCTGCGATTTCACGGAGTGATTTCTGTATAACAAGCATGAAATGAGTGGAGCGATGTGGTTCAGTGGAGGTCGTCATGTAACAAGAAGGTCAGAGATTCAATTCCAGCCCATATTAATGAGAAGAGTCCATTCTGGAAGATCTTGAAGTTCATAAAATAAAATAAAATAAAATAGTTCTTCATATTTCTGGAAGGTTTTGCAGAACTTAGTAAAGTAAACATCCAAAAATGTCTAAACGTTTACAAAACCTACATGAAGTTTCACAGACGCGTGGGGATTTTTTTTTTTTTTTTTTTTGGAACAAGGTTTAACATTTGGATTTTAAAGAATATGGTTGACGCAAACAACACTGCACTCACGCCATCTGCTGGACAAATAATTTAAACATATGAAGCAAAAATAATCATTATATTCCATACAGCGGTTAAAAATATATTACTTGTTTTATTTACACCATATAAGTTCTTGCTTTTCTTGGACACATTTAATCTGTGAGTGAAGTGTGCAGTAATCACTTTAAAAATTGTGTATTATTTTCACAATACAAAAACATCTTTTATTACTTAATACTACTTGAAAAAATATTAAAAATAAACCCAAAATTAGTCTGTGGAAATTAATACCAACAAACAAACACTCACATAACCCAAATAACACATTTTTAAGCATTTCCCTAATACCTGTCACACTCCCCCTGCTGGTCACCTGTACTCTCCCTGTTAACTTTCTTCTTATTGAAGAACTTGGAAATATCTCGCCACCTCCGTTTCAAACAGTAGTTTTTTTTAACGTTGAAAACTTTCCCACAAACACACTGAAAAACAACGCGATATTTGTACTGTACCATCATCGATACGATACAATACGATACGATGCTCAGTTGTTGATTTAACGTCGACAAAACGCTAAACACACAACGGATGCTAACGTCACGGATGCTACGTTTATCCGGACGGAGAGCTAACTAGTCAGTTAAAGTAAAAACACCTGCAGTGTTGTTTAAGAACGGTTTTTCTGGAGAAATTTAACCGAAATTAGCCCCAAATGTAACAGAAGTTGACAATAAACACAGCCGTTACGGTCTTAAATAACCTGTAGCGTCCGGTTCTTACCTTAATTCGATGTACCCAGATAGCATCACTTAGCAAAAAAGTCAGGGGCATCACTTAGCTAAAAAAAAAAAAAAGTCCGTGACTAGTAAAGTTTTATAATTTTTTTTTTTTAAGGAGATGAGGAGCCACTTCCGTTGTCTCTTTCCAAAATAAGAGGTTTAATGAGTTGCTTCCGTTTCGAAATGCAGCGTCGGTAAACAGCTTTACGCAACATTACCCTGGAAGTACAGCCACGGCATTCGGAGGCCCCAAATGGTCATGGGAAAAAAATAAAAGTTTCTGTTGCTCATTTAAAACCTACAGGTGAGCACCAAAAACGTTTTTTTTTACATGTTCCTTTAGGGCCTCCGTAGGTTCATTGTTTTATATATATATATATATATATATATATATGAACACAGATGCCTATAAAGGAAAACAGGAGCTCCATCGTGCGCTTATGGGTGTATTTTAATAAAAATAAGTCTGTCAAAATTAAACAGAATACAATATTCCATCTTTAACATGTTTCCAGTACATATGTTTTTTTTTCAATTCTCATTTTTTCCTTTTTTATATTTTTCATTGTAAAGGTTTTAAAAGTCATGCTAAGTAGAGGGTAACTCATCTCACAATTGTCACTTTTTTTTAAATCTTCTAAAACTCAAAATAAAATTAACAAAAAAAAAAAAAATCCAAACATGAAATTAAAATGTTTTGACAGAAGTCCACTGTGACATCAGGTCTGCTGAAGTCCTTTTTTAGAGGAAGTCCACACGGCTTCACAGGCCTGTGTTTTCTCACGTCCCTCCCCAGGATCACACAGTTCAGCTGGGAGACGGGTTTCCAACACAGATTAACACGTACAGGTGTGTGTGTGTGTGTAACAGAAGTCCTTTTTTAGCTGCAGAAGCAGACGGTCAGTGTGTGTTTGTGTGTATGTGATGTGTACACATGAATACTTCAGTGAAAGTAGTTCCTATCAGAGCAGACGGTGTGTAAAAAAAAAAAAAATAACAAGTGGGTTTTAGATTTGACCACACCACCGGCAGTTAACCCCCCCCGCCCCCGCCCCCCACACTGAAATCACAACACGTCAGTATTTATCCCGTCGTCATCCACTTACAATCAGATATGAAATATACACCTGCCGGCGGTGACGGTCAGAACCAGGTCAAAGCAGCCGAACAGTCACACACTGATGCAGCTTTGGCAGAGGATACCTATTTATATAGAGTTTTATTTATTTTTTAAGTTAAAATTTTTTTAAAAAAATCACTTTTTAATGAAGCTGGATGATTGAACAGATTTATTCCTCTGTCACCAAGAAAACACAGCTGAAATGAAGCCAGTTTTTACCACCATCTGTTCAGACGTTAGAAAACCAAAATAATGAAAAATTCATAAGAATGTGGAAAAAAGAAAAACTTCTGTTGCCTTAACCTAATCCAAACTGTTACGCCTGGATTATGTGCTGCCAATCATATGATTTTTTTTCAAGTGTTGTTTTATGTAAATGAGTCGGGTCACTTTGGTCACTCACAAACCACTACTCCGGAAAAGTTCATTCACTTCCCCAAAAAAAAAAAAAAAAAAAAAAAAAAAAAAAAAAAATCCACCTGCTGTTACTGATCTTTCTTTTCCAGCTAATTACATGAAAAGTTTTGGTTTTTTTGCATCAAATTATGAACTGTTGATTCATCTCAATTAATCACGATTAATTGCTAATAATTTCGCCGCCCTGTGACTAATCCGATTGATAATTAGGTTTATTCTAATGCTGTTACAGGGAGGATGTGGAACTTGATCTGAAGGGTGGTTTGTGGGGAAACCCACCTGTGGAGTGACTGGACTGGACTGGACTGGACTGGACTCAGATTGTTAGCCTGTCTCTGCTACTGTTGACCTGTGTGATGGTGTTGTTCTCAGCTCGGAGAGCAGGTGTTGCTGTGTGGCTAATGCTCAACCGCAGCCACGGCTCTGATTGGTCAGTGACGTTCCGGCTGCGGCGACACCCTGGCTATATTCCACTGTGAGTCCTTGTTGTCACCTTTCCTCTCCTGGTTTCAGGCCGCCTTTGCAGCGGGTTTTCTAGTTAAACGCAGCCGGCGTTCTTTATTGTAAAAAAAAAATAATAATTCAAAAGTCTCCCTTTGACCCCTGCTCTCTTCAAGTGTTATCGTTTCACTGGGGTGTAATGGGTGCTAATGATCTGCTGCCAAACAATCAGAGGTGTGTGTGCTTCATGCTGAGGTCTTGTTGGTGTGGCTCTGTGTCCTACTTATAGGACTGGGTCTGGAGTTGGATATTTTAACGGAATGAAAAAAATAAAATAAAATGGGTTGAAGGTCTTCTGTCTTTCTGTTGTGTCTGTTTGAAGGATTATCTATATTTAAAAAAATAAAAAGATAACTGTATATAAAAACTGGATGTAATGGTCTGACGGCAAAGTCAAATCGTGGGAAGTTGACGAGAATTTTTTTTCCCCCGATTCGGAAATCAACGTCTGTCACAGGATTTAGTCCAGCAGGTGATTCCTGGTTGTATTTTGTCTCAAATACTGGTTCTAGGCCTTGATGATGTCAACCTGATGAAAATATGAAGGGATAGATCAGCGCTCCCCAAGGACCAGTCGGCCGGTATCAGCCGTTACGGCGGATTTATAACACGGCGCCATTATTAAAGGATGATTAAACTTTCAAAATAAAACATTTTTTCAGACTTTATTCTCTTAGTATCACAGTCTGAATGACAGTCATTCAGACTGTATCAGTCGCTGGCACCAGCGTTCTACATACAATCCCCTGATTATTAGAATAGATTAATAATATGAGGCTGCAATGCTGCCATCTAGTGACTTTCATCTTCATATACAGCCGTTTTTCCCAAAAAACACATCACTTGGCGCAACCCAGGCACTGTGTTATCGAGTTTTCGTTATCGATAGCGATTCGTAAAGATATTACATAATTAGGCTAACATCTGGCCGAAAATATTGTCCGACCGATATTATCGGACATGCCAAGTCATGATTAAAAGCACCGAGTTCAGACAACTCTGTCCGGTTCTTATATACAGTCTATTAATGGTTGTGTGTGTGTGTGTGTGTGTGAGCTGATCTGTATGATATGATGAATGAACAACGAGGAGGTGATAAATACTGGTCGCAGGGAGTCAAACTGGTTAAACCCATTCAAAGGTGAAGAAAACCAAAGTCATATGAAAGGGGGGGGGGGCAGGATGAGCACGACAAACTGACAAGAAAAAAAAAAAGGACTAAAAATAATAACAATAAAAAAAAGACTAGATAAAACAGAATAATAATTAATTATCTTTAAATAGTGTCACACATTTCTTTCTTTGATAATACTAAATTAAAAAGGAAGCCTTCCTCTCTCTCTCTCTCTCTCTCTCTCTGTCCTCCCCTCTGCTGCTCTGCCTGTGACCCCGCGCTGAAGGACAGCCCAACGCACCCATCACACGCCTGATCTTTCCCCCCTCCGCCGCCACAACTACCTGCTGGACATGCCTTCGCTCAGTGCTACTAAACATTAACCTGCGGAGAGACGGAGGGAGTCAGCTGAGAGACGTCGACGACGGGAAAAGGAAAAAAAAAAAATGTACAGAATTTTTTTTTTTTTTCATGATAAAGTCATGTCTATTTCTCACTCACCTGGACCGGCGCTAGTGCAAAAAGTTGTCTACTCTGGCGAAGGAGCAGGAACCAGACCGGACTCGGGCCATGAGTTGAACACACTCTGTGGCCTGACCCAATGCTAACATCAGAGGAGGCTGCTTAGGCAGGTTCTGGGACTCTGGGGGAGGAGCCATGGGACAAACAGGAGACAGAGACATTATTTCTTGTAGAGTTTTAGGGTTAATTGAATGAAAGTGTGTCAGTCCATGTGTGTGTGTGTGTGAGTCCGTGTGTTTTACCCAGGATGGCGCTGTTGAGTGCGGAGCAGAGTGATTCTCTCTTTGTGGGATCTAACTGCTGTCCGACGGGGCAGTTCCATGGATCTGAGTACGCTAACAGACTGAACGCATCCTATACACACACGAACAAACACACACTCTTCAGTTTTCAGAGTCAAATCTCAAAAGAATAAAAACATAACTTTTGGACATTTTGTTTTGTCTCATCATATTATGACAAAAGTCAACAGCTTCATAACCAGTTTTTTTTTTCTACAATTTCATTGAAAACTGTCACAGATTTTCTCGTGATTTTAACCAAATCCTCAGAGCTGGAACTTCAACAGGACAATAAAGTTTTTCTGTGTCCACAGAGGAGGATCATGGGAATCACAGCTCTGACTTTGCAGTCCTTCAGGTCCCTTTCCTTTCACTTTTTTTGGAGTCTTCTGTCCCCTGGTGGCTAAATCAGGATGTTGCATCATAATATTTTATAAACTGTATTTTTTACTTTAATGTATTGTATGTCTACTGTGAGTCCCTGTGTTTGTTCAGAGTGAGCCTACATCCTAACGGACAGTTGACCTTTTGACCTATGACCAAATATGCAGCCCCTTTAACTAAGCACGGGCAATTCCTGCAGCCTGTAGAGGATAAAGCGTCCAGAACCTCGTGTGCGTGAGTGTGTACCTGTAACATTTTCTTGTGTGTGGCGTTCTTGCCGTATTCGCGGCACAGCTGTTCGCTCAGAGCCTGCAGTTCTCGTCCAAACTGGATCATCTTTTCTGTGGCTGCTTGGTTTCCTCCGCACAGCTGCTTGCCGTTCGTACAGCCCTCATCTGTCAGACAGACACACACACGCACACACACACACCGAACACACACGCAGAGAAGTACTGTTGTGTATCTGTACCCACAAAAAATATTGAACTAGCTTTTAGTTCATGCTTTAATTCTTAGAAGGACAAGAAAAAAGAAGAAAAAGATGAAGAAGTTTATTAGTTTTAATTAAGTTGCACGAGTATTGTTCCTTGTCATATGTGTGTGTGTGTGTGTGTGTGTGTGTTTGTACCTGCAACACCGTTGCCGATGCTGTTGTCATCCGTCTGAAGGATTTCCTCGTGTTTGTACGTTCCGTTCATGATCCGTGCAGAGGAACCCTCGACCACACCGTTGGTGTAGTGCTCCGCCTCTATTTCCATCTCACTGTCACTGCACACACACACACACACACGTACAGATGTTCAGTTCAATGAAGTCCTGCATTAACACACACACACACACACACACACGTGGTAGTCACAGCTGTCGGCCGGTCTGACCTGGTTTCCTGGGTGCTGTTGGTGCTGTGTGGTTTGGTGGAGTCAGAGGAGTTGGACTCAGAGTAGTTGACTGAAGAAGGTGAGGAGGAGGTGGAGGAGGAGGCTGAGGAGGAGGCGCTGGGGTATTTGACATTGCTGCTCCCACCGTGGCTTTTGGATTTACTGGGTGGAGTCACTCCGTTACTGCATGTAGGACTGTCCCCTCCTGGGTGGACATGAGCCGTGGTCGTTATCATTTATTGTGTTTGTTTGTTTTTGTAGCTCTGTGTCGGCTGTGTTGTATTTACCCCCGGTGTGCAGCTGTGTGTTGTTGGCTCCGTGGCGAGGGCTGAAGCTGGGAGAACCGGGGTAACTGTCCTGGGACTTAGGGGAGCGAACTGTCAAACAGCGAACCTCACTGTCAGTGCCGTTCACCATCTCGACAAACTGGCGACACCTGCAGGTCAGAACACGGTGTAGTTGAATGATGACAAATGACAGGATTACAACCGTGAATACTCCAGCTGACCAGGTGTAAAATAATGACAATTTTTAATAACCTACATCCGATAAAAGTAAGAAAAATAATTTTATATATATACATATATATACACATATATATATACATATATATACATATATGTTAGAAATATTGCATATAACTGCATCTTTTTATCAGTTATCTGGTTTTTGCCAAGTCAACAAAACTGATGCACACACTCCAGCCCAGCAGGTGGCAGTAGTGCACCTTGAGTTTGTTAGACAGACGAAAAAAAGTTACACAAATGTCAGGTCATAAGAAAGTTTAGGGAAGTGATGGTGGACAAGACTATACTGCTGAGTTTTTTTTTTTATTTCCTGATGTGAGCTAACATTAGCTACAACAGTCCTTTGGTTATTGTGTGACTTGATGAATTGCAATTAATATTTACAATCAGATCCCACCACTTATTAAAATAATTGAACTTACTTCAACATGAATAGTAGATTAGGGTTGTGGTCTAACAGGCCTGGATACAGTTGCTGCGTGGCTTCTATAGCTTCGCCCACCCGTCCTGCCAGCACCAGCTTTTGTATTCCTATTAGACAGGACGATATAAAACAATACGATGATTGGACATGAACGACGCTCATGTCGCACAGACATGACCATTGTTGTCACGACTCACTTTGTCTGTTCTTTATAGACATCTGGTCCTCTTGTATTGTCGTTTCTGTTGCTCTGGCAAAGGCTGTTGCGGTGGCACAGTACCCATGATGCACCAGGTAGCTTGAAACCATACTAAAAAAAAAAAACACAAAACACATATAAAACCTGTAAAAAGAACTTATGTTTACATTCATACACCATTCGTGACTGTGTCCTACTTCTGAAGCACAGCCTGCCACTCTCCGAGTCTCTCTCCGATGGGGAAGCGGGCGATCATTCCGTGGATCTTGGCCCGCCATTCGCTCATGTAGTCTTCAATGTCGAACACAAACGGCTGCTGGCCAAAGTTAGCATCTACAATCTCACCTGGTGTCTGAAGGCCCACGGTGGGATACAGGTTGGGCTGGAAGATAATCAAATGATTAATTTCTGCAATGCTGCCATCTAGTGGCTTTCACTTTCATATACAGCTGTTTTTCCCCAAAATTATTTTTAGGGCACACAACATTTGATGAAACCAAGGAACTGTGTTATCGGGTTTTCATTAATGGAGAAAAAACTGATAACGATTGCCAAAATTATTTTTAGGGCACACAACATGAAACCCAGGAACTGTGTTATCGGGTTTTCATTGATGGAGGAAAAACTGATAACAATTCTCATAGATATGACATAATTATGCTAATATCGGGCTGATAATATCCGTCGGCTGATATTATCGGACATCCCTACCTTTAATCATTCTAGTGTAATAGTTTTGGGTGACTGTCACACACACTTTACAGAACATAAACATAAAGAACCTGTTGCTTATGATATTATAGGAATAGAAACTAAGATACTTACAGGGAGGTCTGTGAAGGCAACACCTGTAAAAAATACAAAAATAGTAAATAGACAGTTAATAAATGACGACAAATGGAACCAAATTAATTGTTATTAGGACTGTTGCTGGGGCTGTTTTTAGAACCGACCTAAACTGATGCCATTTTTGGTGTAAAAGCAAGTGTTGTTGATGAGGTTAACGCAGCAGCCAATCACGTCTCCCGTGGTGAACGTGGGGCCGTACGGCTGACCGGTGCCAGAGGAGCAGAAGGAGTGGCCGTCATCTCCGTGGTAACCATAGGAATGCTTGTCCCAGCCTGAAATAACAGATTAAAGATTGGGATTAATGTTTCATTTTAAACCTGACCTCTTAGAAAAAAAGAGTCATAAATTCAGGCTCTCAGCTCTGACAGGACAACGGTGTGTGTGTGTGTGTGTGTGTGTGTTTAGTCAAATATGGGACATGTTAAAATGGGAGCAGCAGAGATTATAAACAGTTCCTGTTTCCTAGTGGAGCGTCTGAGGTGAAGTGAGTTGTCTGCCTTCACTCTGCCGGCAGGAGGAAGGAAGACAGTTATTCATTCACTTGTGCTGCTAAGATTTTCCCATATGACCAGCATTGCCTGCAGGCCATCACATGTCTGGATTGTTAGGCATGCGCTGCAGTTCCATAAACGTCCAGCAGGAGGATCTGGTTCACATAGAGAAACTGGTGAGTCACTGCTGTCAGCAAAGGGCAGCACGGAAGGGCTAAAGCATGTCATGATTTGTTTAAATGGAATTCCCTCTGTTTGTCCTACATTGATGAGTTAATTCCTGGTTCGTCCACTAGTCCATTAGTAACCGTGAGCTCTTCATTACAATAATCTGCCACGGGCAGCTGTTAATATTCAACATGCTAACGCGCAGTGTGTTTTGTGTTGTCGTTCTTTCCAAATAATATCCTGCCAAGTTTCATGGAAAGTAATTTGATGTGGATGATAAATCAGAGGGGACATTTGGTAAAAATAAGACTTCAGTGCCTTTGTCCAATGACATGCAGCAAACAGCAGTAGTAGAAGTATCTGGTCTTCACAATAAACTCTCCATAAATGTAAAAAACTGGACGTCCGATAATATCGGCCAACCATTGTTAGTATCCTCCGATAATGAAAACCCAACAATCCAATGCCTGGGTTTTGCCAAATGAAGTGTGCTCTAAAAATAGTTTGGTAAAACCGGTTGTATATTTAAGTGAAATCCACTAGATGGCAGCATTACAGCTCATTTTATTAATCTAATCTAATTTCCAGGGGATTGTATGCAGAATGCTGGTGCCAGCAACTGATACAGTGGTTTGAACAGATAAACAAATAAATATTACCAGTTAAATTCTCCCGCCCCCTTACCCCCCCCCCCCCCCCCCCCCCCACATATAAAAAAAAAAAATAAAATTTTATGATATAGGGGGGGGGGGCAGGGGAATTTAACTTCCTTAGAAAATAGGCCACTGTTGCCCTGCTACATTGGCATCGGTTGATATCACTAAATATATTAATAATATTTTAAAGTACCCATTCAAGGTTTATTGGTCAAAATCCCAATAAAAAAATATTATTTGGTCACGTTGTCGTTGGGGTCACGTGAGGAAAAGCAAACGTTTAAATAATCAAATTATCGACGCTTTTCTATTTAATAGTTCAGACTGGTCGACTGTCACACTGTCCTTAATTACAGCACGTAAACTTAAACGGCCTGTTACTAATGATCCCCGTGTCATCACTGCTCAGATGTGTACATTCAATATTGTATCAATACACTCATAAAAATACACGTTGTCCTGAGCCATAGTTTCTGGAACCGTTGCCCAGCTCCGTTGTGAGAAGCACTGGATACTGACACGGCGTTTAAATGTTTCCAGTTCACTGCTCAAGTCTAAAAAAAAAAAACAACAACATTGTTTTCCCTCGAACCCTATCGAGAGGATGACATCATCAGTGTGATGCAACCCCAGCAGTGATTGGCCGTTTGCTTCGTCCTTATGTTCAGGCACTGCGGTAACCAGCGACACCAGTGAGAAATATATTCTGTGCGTCGCCAGCTGCGACACAAACACGTAGTACGACCTTAAACAACCTGAGCATATTCATCTGCCACTCCTGTAGGGGCTGTAAGGCAACACCCACGGGGCCATATGTTTACACAGCATTCCCTGTATCCAAGATGAAACGACCGACTCCAGGGCCTGAGCCAATGCTGAACGAGTTTCACACCGAGCAAGAAGAAAGATCAGACCAGAACATATTTCTTAGTGACAGGAGAAGAAACTTTGGCCAAGCCGTTGGTGTGGATTTGTAGGAACAATTGTAAACACACACATTATATAACATATATACATACATACATACATATATACATATATATATGTATATATATACATACATACATATATATATACATACATACATATATGTATATATATACATACATATATGTATATATAGAGAGAGAGAGAGAGAGCAGTTGTGACTTTCTTTTTAACTCGAATGCATACTGTTCTCAGTTTCTCCACACGATCTCCTGTGTGTAAACCCTTTGTGTGTGTGTTGATTTGTGTGCGTAGAGGTATTAGATTAATCTGCTGACAGGGATATTGCCTCTAAAGCCAGACTCACTGCTCCAACATGCTAATGAAATGGGCAGGACTCCACAAAAGGATCAGACCCAGAGGTCAACGGTGGAGAACAGTGAACTATTTACAGACACACACACACACACACACATTCCCATACATTATTTGTAACACGTACGACTCCGCTTGGTCCAAGGTCACAACTACATTTATTGTTTCACCAAAATTTGAATAACACTCATGTCTATTTGTCTGTATTCATCTACACAAAAAACCCTGAAGAACTGATCACGGCTGAATTCTTTACACGTCTGTTTTTAGTTTGCTCTGATTGGCCAGTTTCTGTGCTCATGTGACCCAGGCAACAGAACATTCAGGAATACTTTTCTGCCGGACAACAAACTGTGTCCAACTGTATATATAAAGCTCCAGAAGAAAGTGTCGAGTCAAGGATGGGACCTGGAAAAGTTTTTTTTTCAAGTTTTTCCTGACCTTTCCTGATCTAAGCCTTACTTTTCACATTGACCCTCTTCAAAAAAACAAAAACAGTGGTTTCACTGCTGTTGCCTTTCCTCAAAAACATTTCCTGATTAGGTTTCTCCAGGTCAGACAAGGGTCGGCGTGACTTCCTGAAGAAGCTGCCAGATGCTGACGATCTTTTATTTGCTTGTCCATAAAAAAAACTATAGAAAAAAACTCTGATTTTAACTACATTTTACTCTAGAAAACTTAACATTTAACAGCAACGCAAAATGTACATAACACGTAGGACTGGTCCTAGAACTCTTCAAACCCTGGGCCGGACAGAAATCACACAGATAAATCCACAGACTTGGAAAGGAACCCAGAAATAAACCGAGTCCTGTCAGAGTTTAGGAAACGGACAGAGGACTCCACTCACACCGGCTCCACCGACCATCTGTAGTTTGAATCCTAGCAACCGACAATATTTTCATAACTAATGTGAGTGCTGGTTCTGGGAGAGGCGTCCACTGTTCCACGGTGTTCCAGCCACTGTGTGACATTTGACATGTGAATCAGGAAGACAGGAGAACCAACCATCTGTGTGTGTGTGTGTGTGTGTGTGAATGTGTGTTTGTGTGTGTGTGTGTGTGTTTGTATTGGTGTGGCAGCGTCTGCGTCATTCAACCTCATACTTGTTAACCATTTGACCAACATTATATGAAAAATTAGAAATTTACCGAACAATTCCAAAAAATAAAATTTCTAAGAAATTTCTCAAATGTTCTTATTTGATGAGAAACATGCAGAAAAGATCTGTGATTGGTTAGAGCTCGGCACAGCTCTGATTGGTCAGGTAAAAAAAAAAGAAAAGTGAAGGGGATTTAGTCTGACTCCACGCTGCTTTGTGGTGATTCTTTCTTTGTCATCAGGCGATGAATGGACCCCACACAGATGTGTCTCTGGGTGTGTGTGTGTGCGTGTGTGTGTGTGTGTGGACACGGTGAGTCAGAAGCTGACAACACTGATCTGACGACAATGTTGTATTCATCTAGTAAAGAAGAGGTGTCAAACATAAGGTGTTCATATCCAGGATATTTTCTGTAAAATTATATTTCATTAAATAATAATGACACTAATATTAATAATAATATTAATAATAATAATAATAATAATAATAATAATAATAATAATAATAATAATAATAATAATAATAATAATAATAATAATAATAATAATAATAATAATAATAATAATAATAATAATAATAATAATAATAATAATAATAATAATAATAATAATAATAATAATAATAATAATAATAATAATAATAATAATATACTTGTACTTTTTTATGAAAGCAAAAAGGAGAAATGTCATATTGTTATTTATAGTTTTTTTTTATGTTATGATTGTTCTGGTCCGGCCCACTTGACATTTACTGTAATTACGTTGTACGAGGCCCAAGATGAGTTTGACACCCGTGAAGTGTAGACTAAAGTGTGTACTGTGTGAAACACTAATAGCAGGATAATTGTCTGTCCAACGTCAGATGATCACATCTGTCCAGGCCTCAGACTGACTCCGCCCACTGACATGTCCCGACATGTTCTTTTCACAGGACTGTCAAACTGCTCAGACCGAATCCACAAAACACAACCAGTGACTGTGGCGTCACATGACGTCACATGACGTCACATGACGTCACCTCCTTCTGCCGTCACCCATTATAACTAAACCTGGACCAGTCATCGTCATTCAGCACCACGGTACTTCCTCTTTGGTTCTGATTTTCGTTTTGTCTTGGAAATAAAAAGGTCCTTGACAGAAAGGTAGAAGTCGTCGAACCGTGGTACATTATTCTACCATCTCAGCGTTGACTGCTCGTGTTCTTAACAGTTTCATGTTACTCACCAGGCAGTCTGTTCATGTTGACCCCCTGGGCGGACAGGCCGATGCCCATGTACCTGCAAACAAGAGGAGAGAAATCACCAAGCTATAAACACCAGCTGTAAACACGCGCTCGACAGTATTTCAGCTCTGGGGGATGCAGGGGGTGAAGAAAAAGTTAATATCAGACGTCCCTAGTACACAGACAACGGTAAAAGCAACATATTCTCCACGTGTAAGTGACAATGTGATTATTTGGATTTATCTTCTGAAGGTGTCGCAGAACAGTTCCAGTACTGACAAGACAACGATTGCATTTCTGAAAAAGTGACAGCCCGTTATCAATCTGTTGCTACCGTGTTTCCTATTTGGTTCCTGCAGTCACGCTGACAGTACATGACCATATGTTCAGAGTTGTACAGTCTGACCTACCCGTCGCGACCTTTGCTGACAATCTTGACTTCGAAGTAGTAGATGCCGCAGGCAGCAGGGATTGGGTGTGTGGCCCGCACGGATGCTGCGTCTTTGTGGTTCTTGCCATGACCTACGGGAAAAAGAAAATACATCATGAATAAACACAAACGGCACAATTTTAGGTCGAGACGTCCAACCTCATATCTGGGCTGTGCACTATGGACATTCTCTTGTCTTTGCTGATCAAATTGTACCCATTTTTATTTAGTCATTTCTAACTCTGTTTAGACTTAGAAGTTGTTCAGTGTCAGTGTTTGGTCTGCGGCTCTTTTATTAAATAACCACAGAGACGATCACGTGATTTACATAAGACATGAAGGAGTCAGACTCTGAAAATGATAACCACAGAGACGATCACGTGATTTATATAAGACATGAAGGAGTCAGTCTCTGAAAATACAGCTATTTATTCATATATTTACATATTTTTCATAAACACCTCCTACTACTTTAACTGTCTCTGTCGTTGGGAAATGTCTCCAGTCATGGGCAAACTTTTCTCCAAGGCTGTCCGTAGTCTAGACGCCTATAAGTCAGGTTCTCTCTCAGATCCACTGAGTTGCATTATGCTGAAAGGTTATTATGAAAGTATTGATCAATAACACCCAAAATAATCTGCCTTTAATGTTCACTTCAGGCACTGATGTGGCTCAGAAACTATTGATCAATGTTGTTTTCTATGATGCACGTTTGTTTTGGTGAGTGTATGGAAAAAGTCCGTCAAACCAAGGAGGGCCGGACCGGTTAAATCATCACTGACCAGTTTTTGGGCCGCGGGCCATATGTTTGACATCCCTAAAGCAGTGGACCAATGAGAAGACAGACACGGGAGCATCAAGAGTGGATCTTTATCAAAGGCCAAACCTTCCTCTGTCTGTCCACTGCTGTTATTTAATCAGGAACTCAACAATTTGTAGTTTCCTCTGACGCAGCTCCAGGGAATAAGGAGTAGAAGTAGAACTGGACAAAGTGAAAAGAACCAAACTGAACACACTGTAGCATCACTGTCCTTTATTCTCATCATCTAAGATTTCTGCTAACTGTGAATGTGCTTCCGGTCCTTTCCTTTTCACAGTCATTGATTCTGCAGCACGGCCACGCTTTAGTCTGTGCAGAAATTCAATTTAGGGTTATTACCCCGTATCACTGATGTTCTTACTAATTTGATTGCGTCCAGTGAAGTATCCTTTTAAAAACAATTGAGGATGGGCCCAACAAAGATTGGCTTCACCACAGTGCATACCTAATGAGCAGTCTGTAGCGGCTGGTCTCCGTCTCTCTCAGGTTCTCTCTTCTCTGAGTGAATTACCAAACAAGCACTTCATGACTATTTAAACACGTCCTTAAAACGCCTGCCCTCTGGGCTGGATGAAATATTGATATGGGTAATATGCAGAGAGGAGAGGACTGGAGCTAGTGAGCATGTGTTGAAGATCCACAGAGAGAGAGCTAGGGGGCGCTATCATCTATAGTGATCTGTGCATAGAAAGTATCAGTGAAACAACATTAACCTGTAGAAACAGAGGATGTGGCCACAGTGAGGTGATGGAGGTGATGGAGGTGATGGTGATGGTGGTGATGGTGATGATGGAGGTGGTGATGGAGGTGATGGAGGTGATGATGGTGGTGGTGGTGGTGGTGTTGGGGTGGTGGGTATGAGTTTTGTGTGACTCGCATGTGTGTTTGCAGCACCATTCGTGACCATCGCTATTTTTAGCCACTCCTCGTGAAAGCAAGTGGCCAGTGGGCCAACAGGTCTCACAATGACACAGATGAAGGATGAATGTGAGACACAGCTACTACTCTCAACACCAGCGCTCCACCGCCCACTGAACAACACACCCACGGAACAGCGGGATCCAGTTTTTTTAGCTGAGCTCTACTGCGACTGCACCACGGTGTAAAAACCTCAGAACAGTTAATTCAACGACTGAATATACATTTCAAAATGCCGCAGGCCAAAAGCACGAGGCCACGGTATGACTGAGGCCTCGAGCGCCGCAGCAGAAGATTCTCACATTGCTGGACCTCTACTGATTCACTGGCTGTGGATTATCCAGAGATGCTTCTGCTGAGTTCTCTGGCTGACCTTGTCTGAAGATTACAAAAGGGAACAGCTCAACAAAGTCCAGTGTGTTCTCTTCCCTTACAATTGTCTTAAGCTGACATGTACTGGAGACCATTTCATAAAAATGTAAAAGACCAACCCTCGCACTGACCTCAAACTTTAGCTGCACTCGCGGGCCATCGCTCATTTATTCAAATATTATTTATTCAATAGACTTCTGAGGGAACGGCAGTGTGCGGACGCCAGCCCATGTCAGTAGTGATAGTGCAGTGTCCCTATTATATTACAAATATATACAAACAACATTGCCATTGTTGACTCTGTAATTACCTCTAATGCCTAAAGGGAGGAGGACAAGTTAGTCTCCCTAATCAGTACCAGAAGAGTAAACTTCAAAGGTACAACAGGCAAGTTTTCAAGGTTCTTCCAAATGGATGTTCAACCATTTTATCAACCATTTACGGTCCATAATAGAGACAACGGCTAAGAGTTACTTCAATGTGCGTTTAGAATCCACGGGCTGCTGCCAACCACTATAATATGGAGCCGACAATAAGTCAAATTGTCCCTACATATATTTGCGAATTCAACAGCGGCATCCTCTCATTATTTTACTTTCAAAATACTGTGTTATCAAAGGAACTGTTTATACCAGAGAAACGGCGCTGGTGTAGCAGGGTCAAACGTTTCAGCTGTTAGGTGACATCAAATAACTGCAGCAGCGGTCAAGGATCAAAGTTCAGGGCCCTGATCTTCTTACTCAAGAGAGACAGAGAGATCAATTACCAGCAGAGAGAACCGACTCTGTTCTGCAGCTCAGGCAGGTCAAACTAAAAAAATAAAAATAAATAAATAAAAACCTCAGCTCAGCCATAAAGATAGTCCAGGTGACTCTGTCACATCATAACGTGGTTCATCCAGTCACAGGCCTATCTTTCAACAGATATTTTAGACTTGCTGAGTTAGGTGTAGGACAGAGGTATTCAATAACACCGATGGTGCCAAGCATAATATTAGGCAATTCATAAGAAACATACAGGCTGTATAATGATGACAATGGTGACAATTTCTATTATCAAATAACCTGGCGAATAATCAAGGATGTTTATCAGATTATCAGCAATTATTTGTCATAATTAGGGATGTCCGATAATATCGGCCGACCGATATTTGCATTTTCACATCATTTATAATGATAAAAATGACAAGGTCTCCAGGTCGTGTAATTCAGATATAAAACGTGTGATGACTGCAGCGCGAAGAAAGCACTGATTGGAGTAATCTGAGGTCATGGCATGGGTTTGTCATATAGATACGTAAAGTACATAAAAAAAAACCTAAAACGTTTCAGTTAACCAAACAACCAACCCAAGTTTTATTGTGACATTTTTATACTTGATGACAGCAATGCTGCCCACAGCCGTTTACAAAGACAACAGAGAGATCTGACAGCCAGTCAAGGATCTACAGATCTGTTTAACCAGTTTGGTGTCTGTGTGTGTGTGTGTGTTTTAGAAAGAACAGAAATAACAGGTTTTTTTACGCTAAAATGTGAACTTTCATTCATAAAGTGTTGACGTCAGTGGCCGGTTGTGCCGTTTTTTTTTTGTTTGTCAGAATTTAAAAAGGTTTGGACAGTCTGGACCAAATCCTAAATTTCCTGTGTTATGTACAGCACGCTCTGCCTCCACATCAACAGCTGCCCTCTGGATTTATGATGCCTAACATCTGCTCAGTCTTTAACCACAACACAGGTTTGCTCAACACTGCATAGCTGAGACTAATTTGGATTTACAGGAACTGAACATCTATATAAACAAATAAACAACAACAAAAAATCTCATACTATAAAAAAAGCCATCTCAGCTATCACCTAGCTACTTTTAAATACTGAAAACACTTTGCAGTAGATACAGTAACAGTTAATTTCCCAAAGCACTTTTTAAAAACAGTCTATAAAATTCAAGCTTTATTGTTAGAGCTTGGTAAAAGCAGATCCCTTAGTACTAACAAGGTACAAATAAAATTAAGTACTAACATTAATGTTATATTATAAAATAATTATTAGTGGCTTAGGGACTGGCATCGTCACACCTCCCAACACCTCCCATTGAGAGCCTTAAAGGAAAAGTTACCAAACCTTCATAAACATTTTCATTGTAAAATGAAATGCTATGAAAAAATAGTATTCAATCTCAATACGTCAATTTATCACATTAAAGAAAATGAAAAAGAATCAATGCCCAGCACCAATCATAATGCATTTTCAGGACCTGATTCTTTCTGAATGAGACATCACTGACATTGATGACATTTTGGACCTCAAGTACTATTTTTCTTATCACAGTGTTTTCTCTTCCACTCTTTATCCTTGGCACTGTGTCAGCTGTTTTCAATAGATGGCCCGCTGTTGCTGTTGTGCATTGTCATCCACTCTGGGGTTTTTTTTTCGATTTTCAAGGGTAGATTTTTCTTTTTTAAGGCAGAGCCAAGGATTGGAGCATGTCCAACTCTCCCTGGTGACCCCAGGAGTGAGTCTCATATTTTTTTGCAGATGATGTAGTTCTGTTCACTTTGTCAGAATGTGACCTACATGGCTTTTAGGATTTCTCAGGGTTCCAGTGGCACGTCAGGAGCCAAGTCCCCAAAAACAATGAAAAATCGAATGTCTTAGATTTAAAGCAGCATGTGTGTGTGTGTGTGTGTGTGTGTGTGTGTGTGTGTACAGACTTACAATTCACTCCAACTTCTCCATCGTTAAACTTTAAAATATTTATTATTAACCATGTGCGACAATGTCAAGCCCTGCTCCGTCTCTCTGCTTACTTACAAAAAATTATAATCTCAGCTAGACAGTCGAATGTGGATATTACTGTGTCACTACACAAAACACTAAAATAAAAAAAAAATGTGTTTGTTCTTTGGTTAAATGCTAATAGTAGCTATTGGGCTAACGCAAAACCAATGTATTTTTAGCCGGGTTCTCTTACGTGAACAGAGTTGTTTGTTCAAGGTTGACGGTTGAATAAACCATAAGGAGACATATTGAGTATCAGTTATCAGTATGAATGATAGTCCACATTATTAACCATTTCTGTAGTAGTTAAATGGGCCATTTCATTTGCAACCATTTTCAAATTCACCAGTACAAAAAAAAAAGTATCTGATGTCTGTTTTTTCCTGCTTGAGACAAACTAATTTCATTGCAAACGGCCAAGGTCACTGTTTATATTGTTTGGACTTAGCAAAAATTAACACGCACCTAGTTTTAGTTTAGTTTAACAATGTGAAAATAACCCAGTCCTTATCTTTACTTGGAGAAGTACAACGATCAAGAGGTTTACGTAAGGCATGCTTTGTTTGCTTTTACACGTGTCAAAAGCAGGAGGTTGAAGCTGTCTGCAAAATATTAAACTAAATTAAAAACATAAAGCATGTTTTTTTACACTGTGTATTTCTCATACAAATCCAACGGTTACATCTGTGTTTTGTTGATAAATATGAATAGCACTGGAATACCTGTAAGGACACGGTTGATTAATCGTAAGAATAGCTCGTCACTGCCTGTCCTTAAACAGAAAGAATTGGCACACTGGTCAAAATAGCATCTGAGCCACATGGGTGAAGAAGATGAGGAAGAGCTGAAACAACCCAGCTGTAGAAACATGGCCCATCACTTCAGAACAGACCTACTTATATTATCATCCCAAAATAATTATGCAGAGTCACATCATTAGAGGTCTTCTCATAGAAATCACGATTTAACGCTCCGTTTTTTAGGATCCAAGGTTCAGTCATCAAAGACTGTGGGGTCCTTTCAAATATCAAATACACAACTGCTGTGCAAAAACACTGGCTTTGTGCTAGGATGGAGAGAATTCTAGGTACATTTTTATATCCCATCTTCTTCAGTTTTTTTGACAGTGACATCATCACAACACTGGGCCATTTCTGTAGCATAGCTTTGGATCTTTTGCTAGCTGGAGAGGGCGAGCAGAAGTGCTTATGACCCCCTACTGTGACCCTGACTAGTTTAAGTGCAAACTAAAATTTGTGTACAAGTAGGCTACTAGTCAGTAAGTTAGTAAAAAAAAATCTTTATAGTCCTCACCAGTGGTTAGAAACAAAAATAATACACACTTTTTGAAGAAATCACTGATAGAAGCAACTAAACACTATAACCTCAAAATGAAGAAATAATAATATTATATATATATAGTAATATATATATATATTTGTATAATATAATAATAAATTTCTCTGTTCTCTTCCTGCTGCTCACAAGTCACAAACTATATTATAAGAATAGGAATACAGTAATAAAACTATTTTAAAATGGAATCTGTTTTTGTGCATGTTTTTAGGTTGAGCAAGAAAGAGAGTGGCCTTGCAGTGGGATGTTATCTCCACAGCCAGAGATGTAGCACTGGCCTGCTCTGCCTGCCTGCCTGCTGGGGGTGGGGGTTGGGGGCGGGCCGCCCTGACGTGTCGTCTGACGAAAAAGAACACACCAGGCACAAAACACTCCACACAGTTGTCACCGTGTTTTGATTGAACTGCAATATGCAGATTAATAAATCACATGGTCCTCCAACTGACCATACGGACGGTTTTCTGAATCAGTGGCTGACGGTGCCACCAGACGAGCAGAAAGTTGCTGTCATTGTGAAAACGCTGGAGTGAGCTTCGACACCACAGATTTATTACAAGTTTGCTACGTTTGGCCTAATGTAATGCGCAGAGGCCTCCTCCTGCTCCTCCTCCTCCTCACTCCTGACAGCACAGACAGCAGCTGGTGAAAATGAGCTGCTCATGGAGGTTGGACAAGAGACTCCTGGCTAAAGGCCACATGGACCCCTACTGTATATGGAGCGGTACCAGTTGCTGAAAAACATACATATACTTCCTAGAAGGCAACAATAGAAACTGCCATATTTCATATTTTATACACTCCACAATACTTAAAATGTGTTGTATATTTAGTTGAAATTCATTTAGCCCCTTTTATCACTGTTGTTTTCAACCACACACACTAGTTAAAACACATCAACTTGCATAGAATAAGCTAACATTAGCTAAAAGTTCACTAGCGATAGTCTGTTTACAACAGTGGCAGCAGCTGGAGCTTGGACATGTGATTGTTGTTATTCTAATAGGCACATAATATGCATATACTGTATGTTTTGAGAATAAGGCCAGCTCTAGAATTTAAAAAAGCAATGGGGGCCAGTGCCCCTAAATGAACAGCCTGCTCCACTTACAACAACAACAACAACAACAAGAGGTAGAGCATGTGCCTATACAAGTATAATCTGGTTTACTGGTGAGTTCATCCCTATGAAACACAGATAAACTTACAGAGCATACAACAGTTTATTTTCAGGTCAGTCACAAGACTGGACCATACATGTTGAAATTAGCAATTGGTCTGATTTATATTTAAAATCAAGTTGCAATTAATAGTTTGTGGTTACTTTTAAACGTCCTATGTCCTGTCACACCTGAGATTGGCCATCATATCCATTAAAACAATGATCTGGTGTGTTCCAGTTGCACTGATTGGAACACAGGATTAACCTTTTAAACCTTCGCTATTGGCAAATACCTCCTTGCTCTGTTGTGAAAGGGTTTACAGTTGCCTGTGTGTTAGTTAATGATTCTTGAGTCTTTGTGCTCCACATTTACAATATATTATTACTATATCGCTACTTCTATGTTATGTTTAGCTCTATGTTCTACTTGTCTTGAAGTTGGGTGGGTCAGTGTTGTCTCCTCTGTTGGAAAACCAAGTTGAGGTTTATGAGTGTATGATGTGGTGTCCAACCATAACATCACTGGGCCAGTTTTTGGCATACAGTAGGTATGAGAGGTAAGGTCTGTTTTTGCTCAATAAATATATATTAGGCCTTCCCTGTCTGAATTAGTCCACATCCAAGGCAAATAAACTATTATATAGATCTCTGTTCCTTGCTTGCTAATATGCATACAATGTATTATTATATTTATTCAAAAGTCCTATATATACACACATAAAATAACTCATTAAAGTTAAGTCCTATATATACACACATAAAATAAGAGTTATTATCACAATATTATACTGCTTTTCTTGAAGACATAACAACTGCAGTGGCACACAATATTATACTGCTTTTCTTGGAGACAAAACAACTGCAGTGTTATATACACACAACAACATTCGTGTTTTTTCCAAACAGGTTTGGCTTGTGTGTAATCTTTATATAGATAGCTTAGCTTCTTTTTTTTTTTCCAAAAAACAGCACTTCAGCAGCAACAGCTAGGCTAGGCTAACGTTAGCCTTGCTCTTGTCTTGACGTTAGCTTTTATCCGCGTTTTACTAAATTCCATCAGTTAGCTGGTTGGCAAAACCGTTTCAATGCGTCGTTATATCTCAAACCCCCAACCCTCGTTAATATCCCCGTCATTGTCCCTAACCTCTTCCCCACTCATGACAGCACAGAAGGCAGCTGGGTTAAATCTAAGCTGCTGTTGAAGGTTTGACATGGGACTTTAAAGGGCACATACGCGTAAAGCTATTGTTGCTGGTGCAAAAATATTTAGACACGGCTTATGATTTATTAAAGACTTCATATGAGACAACCAGTGGAATTTCCCGAGGAAAGAGTAACATGCCCTTAACGATCTGATTTACGTTTAAAAAAAAAGCAGCAGTTTAGCCCAGGCTAGGCTAACATTAGCCTAGAGACTAAGTAGCTCCCTGTTAGCGTTTACTCTTGTTTTGCTAAATTCCATTAGTTCGCTCGTTGGCAAAGCCATGTTTATGCGTCGTCACTACAGCCACTGACACCCTCTCAGTCTATCCCCCTCCTCCTCATCCTCCACTAGGCCAGATGTAGAGTCAGTTACTGCAAACAAATAACGTCACAGACGTCAAATAAACAAAAACGGGCAGAAGTGTTGTTTGTTGTAAGGTATATTCCATTGTGCTTGTATATGAGACTCAAAATGTGTACCTTCTATCGTATCCTTTTCCTGTGTTCGTTCGTACAGCAAAGCAAGGTTATAGGACAGGAGAAGGAGCTCCTGAACTACACAAACACACAATACCAAAGCACATACAGTCGACATATTCGCATACAGTGTGTGTGTTTGTTTGTTTGTGCGTGTACTCGATCCCCCTCCGCAACAACACAGTGACAGATTTGAGCTGTATGTACTGCTGTGGTCACAGACTGGGACCGGTGACGACTGACTGGGGCTCTCTGACCTTTATAGTGGACCCGCAGGTTGTTCTGTGACAGGCCGATGTAGCTGTATTTATCCTTGGGGCTCCAGGATCGAGGTAAAGGGGTCTCTTCCTCGTTCACAGCCGGGTAGAGCCGCTTCAGCCTCTCGTTTAGCTCCTGCTCTTGGTAATTAAAAGCAGCAGGATCTCCTAACGGCAGGCTTCCAGCTCCGAGCTCTGCCATGTCTTTATTAATATTCGTATTCCTCAACGTGTCGTGTTTCTATATCAACTTAATTCTCTCTTAATAAGCCTTTCTGTTCCACCCTGAGCCCCGTGTCACTCCGCTGGAGCTGTGGGCAGAGAGTGAGAAAATAGCAGCGGTGTGTCATCCCCGGATCAGCAGCAGAATGTAACTGTAGGCTGGAACACTGCAGTGTGGGAACTGTAGTTCAGTTACACGTTGCTATAACCTCCAGATCTGCACAAACAACTACAAAGCTCCAATGACAGGCTCCTATGTTTAGTATTTTACCGAACGAGGAAGCTAGGAAATGTAGTTTTCTTCTTACAGCCGGTGACTTATAAATATTTCAGAATGCTTCTTACTTTAATGCTCGTGTTTAACTTCCTTTATGCAAATAACCTTCATACAATACGTCACTGTTACGCAACAGCGCAAACCCAACACGCAATCGATAACTGTCAATATATAAAAATGCTAAACTCTACAGACTTCTACGGAACTTAGAATACATGTACTATGCGTATCTATGGATAGTTCACCCAAGTTTTTAATTGTGAAACGTAGGATTCAGCAATGCCTTGTGGTGCAGTTGTGGTTCATAGTTGTCTCATTTTACAAAAAGTTTCAAAGGGGAAGCAAAAGAAGGAATTCACATTGCAAATGTGTCTGCATACAATTTGTATAAAACATTTGTTGCAACTTTTATAAGTGTACATTTAATTGTTTTTCTATAAGTTGCCCGGAAAGAAGCGCATTATACCAAGTCTTGTAGCCTTCAATCAGCGTGTTTTTACACTTTATTTAAATCCATTTGCCTCGTAAATTACAAATACAAATTGTGAATGACATCATATATTTATAAAAAGGAGAATAATATCAATAAAATAGTATATCTTATTGGTTTACATTAAAAAAACATAGGTAAATAAAAGAGTCAGGCGCGCCGCGGACAACTAGGCAGGTCCTGTCGCTTCGCTACTATGGAAACAACAGTACAACTACAACAATAAAAATCAGTGTTTGCCAAATATGGCTCCAAAAAGAGATTTAAAGTTTCCACCTATAACATCGCAACAAGAACACAGGTACGTCAATACATCTATAAACCATGTACTGTATATACGTATTAATAGACAGGCTATGACTACAGCACACATGAACTATAACAATTGTTAGGAATATTTGCAAACGTAATCAAGAGTCTAGTACACGCATTTGCTTAAACACGTCACGAAGTATAAACACTTTTCGGAGTCTAGTACACGCATTTGCTTAAACATGTCACGAACGTCCAAAGTATAAACACTTGTTATTTTCATAATAGTAAATTATATCATTTTTAAGGAAGGGACTCTATTTTTATCAATTAGGAAATGTTGGGACTGCATAGCTACATTGCTTTTAAATGTAGCAATTACATTTAAATTATGTTGAGTAAAATTATCCAAGGTTTAATAACACTTTCATTACTGTTTTAGACCGTTAATTTCTGATTCAGATGCTGTTAATGTCTTGGACCAAAGCAGACAAAAAGGTGACAGGATTCAGCAGTCAGAAAAGGGTTTGGAAAGACAAATTGGAGCAACTGCTGTTGTTTCTGTACATCCACCTGCATCAAGAAGAGTGGGTAAAGATTAATGTGATTAGATCAAATATAGGGTTAAGATAAGGTATCAGTGAAGGACTTTGGACATGTCATTGGCTCACAATGTTAATCAGTGCAATGTTAATTAATGAATTCTGTTAGTTATGTTCTGCAGGTATCAGTCACATTTATGCGGCAACACGAAGAAAGCCCCCACTGCTGATTCACCTGGAAAACTATGTAAACAAGGAGCTTCAGTCTATCAATCCCCAAGAACCAAAGTACCAGGAACTGAAGCTGCAGGTGCTGTCCCTCTGTACATTTTTACACCATGTCCCTCCACATCACTTATCTGTGTATTTCCTGTTGGGCACCTTCCCCTATACGTTCTCTTCATATAACTATCTTTACCCTTTTCCCTCTGTACAGTCTCCCTGCTTTTCCATAAATCACCCCATGCTGTCTTTCTCATTAATACCCACTCTGCCCTGCCTGCAAGCTCTTATCCACCTCTTTTCTGCTCTATTTTGAAGGATGACCTTATAAATTATGCTGTGTACAAAGCTGTAATCTTTTTTTATCTGTTTTGGCCACAGGTCTACCGTGTTATCTTTGGTTGCTTCATCCAAGAGTTTAAAATGTACCAACCCATTCTGTCTGAAATCAAAAAGGAGTATGAAAACACATTAGGTTTGTAGCTACAAGTCAAGTCAACCTGCCTGGTACTTTTCTTTGCTTAGGATAAAAAAAACATTAATATATAGGAATTACATTGTTGGTGAGTCTGTACAAAAAGAATAAAAAGTACTTGGGCAAAATAGCCTGTCCCCTCCCATTGTGCATTATGTTGTGCATCTGTTTAGCCTATCAGCAGGATCAAATAAGAGAACTGGAACCACTGCGATCGCATTTGAGATTGGTGAAGGAGGAATGCGAGAGGAAGATTCAAGCCCGCTGGGGAGAGGAGCAGGCTGAGATTGGAGCCTTGAAAAGGGAGAAGCAGCAGCTGCAGCTGGACATGGAGGCCATGAGGGAAAATGAAAAGGCCTTACAGGCAGTGGTACATGGCATAATTGTGGAGTGGAATTCTAACTGCAAATTATTTTTATTTATTAAACAGTTTAAGGCAGGGGTCCTCAAACCCAGGTCCGGGGACCGGTGTCGGTCCGTAGGTAATTTGATACCGGGTTGCAGTGGGACACAGTGAAAAATTATACTTCAGTTTTACTAATTTACTTTATTCAAAATATATCCCTTTACTTTTTTCATTCAAATAAATCTGGCAATATTTCAAAACAACATGCCAACAGAATAAAGTCTAAAAGAGGTTTTATTTTGAAAATACAATGAACCTTTAACATTGGTGTGGTATTACTGGTCCACAGTAACAGCTGATATCGGCCGGCCGGTCCTTGGTACAACAAAGGTTGTTGACCACTGGTTTCAGGGTTAACCACATTTACCCAAACCTTCGTTTATGTTGTAATGTTTTATCACCTTGTGCCAATACGTCCCTGTGTTCTTTTCTTGTCCAGTTAGAGCATATGCAGTATGAACTGTCCAACCAATACCTGCTGTTCAGAGAGGAGCGCGATGCTCGTAAGCTGCTGATAGAACAGCTCAGTGATGTAACACACACATCTGTGAAGAAGGAGCTCCCTGCAGGTGAAAACTCAGGTAAAACCTTGTAGGAACTCACATCCAACTTGGGCAATAATACAATTCAATTTTTGCCCTAATGTAAAATTCAGCTTTGTGTAAATAAATATTACCAGGTCCTTAATAATATTTCAATTTGGGAGGTGGCAAGAGGGGGGAAATGTATTCATATCGGTTGATATCAAAATCGGAAATTAAGTGTTTGGACGATATCTGATATCCCAATTAAAAACCAAATAAGTGCTATACTGTTATTTGTTTCCATTGTACAAGTTGAGGCTAAGGACCCAGTGGAGCTACAGCTGGCTTTAAAGGTGTGTCGAGCCAATTTGACCACAGCTCAAGAGGAGCTCAGCAAGATGAAGGCAGAATACTGGGATGTTGTGCCGCAACGTGACTGGGACAAACTGCAACAAACATATCAACAAACAGTCCTGCAGGTGAATCATACAGAGACGATGATGCTGTAAAAACTCAGATATCAATGATTTATTTTTTTAAAAATATGTTAAATCTATGCCATAATCTTTGCTTTTTTCTCTGTTGTCCAGTTAAAGACACTGCAGGCTGACTTTGATCAGCTGAAAAGTGAGTATGGCATACTCCTGGAGCTACATAAAAGAGGAAGCATGGAGGTTGAGACACTGGATTCCTCCAGTGTGCAGGTATATATCACTACACTGGGCCAAACTTGACACATACAGTATCTCTAGTATTTAATATGTTTTTATTGTTTTGTTTTGTTTTCCATATTCATGTGAACTTTTCAACAGCTGGCAGACACTGAGGAGCAGGCACCACCTCCAGCTCTAGACCACGCAGATGAAAATGCCTGAATTTAAATGAGAAATAAAAAAAAATTACACTTGAAAAAAGTTGTAGTACTTTTCATTTAAGAGTAAAGTATTTTAGTAGATATTATGCTAATAATAGATCCTGAAATAAAAAACAAAACAAAAAAATATTGGTTGTCACTCATACATAACCATCAATACCTTTTATGGTAGTCAAATTTACATCTTAAAAGACGTGCGCCGTTGTCAAGCCTCGGGAGCGATAATAATACTGAAAAACTACAATCCCCACAAGCCATCATAGGAACTACGCAGTCAATGTGCGGTGAGTACTCTGCCATTACGTACACAGTACTGTGCGTTCGTCTGAACTAGCTTGGCGTTGGTTAGAGGTAAGTTTCTAGAATGCTTTTTAAAGGAAACGTAATCTAAAGTTTAGTGAATGGAGGCGTGTTGAAACACATTAAAGTCTACTCCAGCTTGTAGTTTGGAGTAGTACGGAGGCATGGGGATTAACCGGGCCACTCCTGTCTGTCCCGTTTCGGGCTGACGTTGGTTCACGCCTTGGAGGTTCGCTGAAGTAGAGAAGTGTTCGCGGGCCTGGGTGTGGAATGAAAACTTGGGAGATATTTTTAGCAGTGGAGGCAACGCCAGTGACAGTCTGCTAACTGTGCTGCAAGGCCCCGTGGCTAACGCTCGGAAATAGAAACGTATCTGACTCCCAGTGTTTGGTGGCGGGAAGGCGTTCACATTAAGCACAGCTAACAGGTTAGCAGCTAGTTAGCTACTTAAGTTAGCCATAAATCTTAGTTTTCAATTGTTAGCCTGGTTAAATACGTTCATTTGGGGGCACGCCCTAATCACAACCGTATTTATGTATGTATATAATTACTAAAGTGCTTGCGTTTATGCTGATTTTTGTCTAATTTTTACTTGTAATTTGACGGTTTGACTCTGCTGTTATTTGCGAGCACATGACTAGTGTTGTCACTCTGAGGCCTCAGTTGCTGCTACATTACGCCCTAAATGAATAGATCAGGGTCGCCTAGTTATTAATACTTATCGCGGTGTCTAGAGTTTAACTCAATTTGACAATTAGTTGTGTAGACAAAGCCTCAAGACCGTCTTCTGTTGTAACATTAGCAGGCTACTCGTGTGAGAGCTGCCTGTTCCGTTACTGGCAGGTGCGGCCTGAAAATGGTCGACCACTGGCGTCACTGCCGGGAGTCAATATGCACATTTGCAGGCAGTTGTCAAAAAAAAAAAACTACTGTCGTGAATGTCTACATCAACACATAGAAAAAAATATTAGTACTATGTATTTCATAAAGAGTTTGGTTGCATTTATTATTGATAATTTAATTGTTATTCTGTGTTGAGGTCATCCACATTTATAAAGTGAAAGCCACAATGTTGTTACATAAATGTATGTATGTTTTTGTTTTTTGTTTTTGTTTTGATTGCATCAGAAATTACATCTTCAGGTTCACAAATATGGTTGGTGAAAATTAGGCAAAACATAACTGGACTAATACAAATAGTTGTAGTCACTTTAAGTTCAACGTTGTTTTAGAATGTGTTGGTTGAAGTTGTAGGACATACTGCTCTGGTTGCCAAACTTTGTTCTCACAGTTTTTTGGCAGGTTTGAGTCATCATTTTATCCAGGATCTGCTACACCCAGCAGCAGCTTAGACTTGATTAAATTAAGCATAATCATTGCTGTTTATTAACCATCTTGAACAATATGTTGTCCACAAGATATCGGCTGATTTTGTGATCTTACTTCTACCAAAGTGGTTGAAGCTAAAATATTTTGGACCAGCTAGGTAAAATAGAATTTTACGAGTAGAAGGCTAGACTGTTGTTGAGCTACACATTGAGTGCAGACACTAGGGTATTTATTAATATTATCATTATTGTTATTATTCATCCGTTTTACTTTTTGCAGAGGTTTATCCGAGTTCACATTTGTTCATAAACAGGTCGTTTATCCGAGTTCACATTTGTTCATAAAATTCTATGCTCTCACACTTTGCTAGCTTGAAACTCCAGCCCCCCGGTTTAACCTTTCTATTGTGTCTCAATCCCTCCAGTGTGTGCTTTGCAGGGTGATTCAGGATGTGTGAAAAGCCTTGGGAGCAACTAGGAAACAGCTTTGTGCAGCATTATTACAGTTTGTTTGACTCTGATAGAGCACAGCTGGGATCCATATATGTAAGTTTAAAGAAAATAATGACTCACAATTGTGTTTATTGGCTTGGTAATAGCCAGTGGCAACTATGTTATAATGCTGTTCTCTTCATACACAGATTGAACAGTCATGCCTTACCTGGGAAGGACAACAGTTCCAAGGAAAAGGTTCAATTGTTGAGAAACTCGCTGTAAGTATATTTCTCAATTTATAGATTAATGCAGACTCGCATATGTGCAACAGGTGGTGGACAAAACCTTTACTGACCCCTAACCTGCAACAGTAGAATGTGTGAATGCAGTTAGCAGGCTAATCAGATTACAGCAGGGCAGGCTTGTGTAAAAAGGATGACACTTTTAGTTTTTTTGTTTTTTGTTTTGTCATGGTCTAAAAATATGAACATAAACTATATTAAAAGAAATTCCTGATTCTCTGTAATCTGTCTCATTAAGTTCTATCTTGTTGTTCCTTTTTATTGTTTCAGAGTCTACCCTTCACAAAAATAGCGCATAGTATAACAGCGCAAGACCACCAGCTAACTCCAGACTGCTGCATCTTGAGTATGGTTGTAGGGCAGCTTAAAGTAAGTTGACTTGTCATTTAAAACCAAAACCTTGTAATAAACCGCAAAACGATAAAACCCTAAAACAGTTCTCTTTAAAACAGTGTAAACATTGTTTATCAGCCTTTGTGCACAATGTGAGAATTCAATGATACTGATGTTGTTTGATGGCATTCTTTTGTAGAGACTGTCTCAAAACTCTTAAGGCAAGTGTCAGTTGTCAGTTATGTCTCAAAGCCAGTTTAAAAGTAGGCCACTGGACTCACCTCAAATAAATTGAAGCGTTTTGCCTCTCATCCAAGAGACTTAGAACTGAAGAGTCTAGTTGCCTACTTTTAAAACTGCTTTTGAGATTATTATGACCTGGATGACTGAGAATATCCACAAGTATGTTAAAGTTATGTCATTGACACATAATAGGGTGAGAAGATACAGAATCATTGTGTTGTGTTAACATATTGCCGTTGTGTTCTGCCTCTGACCGCAGGTAGATGACGACCCCGTTATGGGATTCCATCAGAGTTTCATCCTCAAGAACATTAATGATGGATGGGTGTGCACCAATGACATGTTCAGGTTGGCCATCCACAACTTTGGTTAAGTCTGCTCCCTGCTCTGGTAGACGGGGGCAGCCATAGAGAAGGGCACTGTGTGAAGTATGCAGGGGGGAGTTGGGGACGGAGAGAAAAGGAGAAGCTCATCCCTCCCTCCTGCTGTCTCATCTACACCTTTCTGACCAAGAAGCTAAGAATGAATTATGTCAATGTCAATCAACTGAACCACACCCAGCCAGTAGAACTGCAATTTGTTTTGTCTGCTGAGAGCCGTTCGACCAATTAGACGCCCCCTGTCTGCCACTCTGCTACTCTGCATGAAGCTGGAGTCCATCATGACAGTATCGACACTCTAGCCACATGGAAGACAAACAGTTGACCGATCCCATCAACCCATGCTCTGCTCACCATCACTCTTACTCTAACCCACTCTCATTCTAAGTCTATTTTCTTCCCCGATCTAAATTACATAAAGACTACAGCTTGCTTGAGGGAGTTCAAATGAAGTTCAATTATTTTACCCAATTGTAAACCACAATTCATTACCATGTGAGGTTTTGCTCTTGCAAACTAAAGATTCGTGGACCAGAGGTCAGATTTAACCCTGTGATTGGCTTTTGTCATGCATTAAAACCCCACTCTCTTTCTCTCCGCCTCTTTTCCTGTCTTTTTCTTGCATTTGGCATGGACTACAGCCATGAAACACAATAAAACCTGGACTTTTTTCTTAATGGTTTTGTCTCGTGTCGTTCTCTTTGTCTGTATGTCTTTCAATTAGTCCTTATACAAAGTTACCTAAACAGAACAGTATCGGGCCTCTATCGTTAGTAGCACCATATATAAGCCTGATGTAAAGAAACAAAGAAAAATAAACGGCTGGATCAGCTTGTTACCTAAAGACTTACTCGAGACCAGAGGTTCCAATTTTACCCTATCAAATATGTCCACACCAAATTTTTCCAAATGTTCCCAAACTGCAGCAACACTAGCTGTTAAAATCTCGGTGAAGCCCTGTAGTTTTGGATGGCAGTAAATTACACTATAGTGGGGTAACCATTGCAATATTTTTATTTCCTAAAATCTGTTTGATCCAATCTGTTTTAATTCTGCTGTAATTCTGCAATGCAAAAATTGAACCGCACTTTCCAATCTGTTTTAATTCTGCTGTAATTTTGCATTGCAAAAATTGAAAAAGAAATATTAAACCGCACTTATCAATCAAACAGTGCACCTATTATATATATAAATATATTGTAAAGGGACAATTAAATACACAGAGCATGTTGGGGGTCCTAACAATACCTTGGTCTGACTGTAGAGGCCAGTATTGTACTTTATTGTGCGAAAGCTGTCGCATTGAGGTAGGAACCAATGACTTAATTCAACAGCAGGTCGGAACCAATGCCGCGGACATGACGGAAGTTTAGACGGTTGCTCTGGGTGAACGAAGCAAAGAACACTGACAGCAGCATCGCGTCACTAAAAAACACAACTATTATCGCCTCCCTTTAATTAACCTAGTCTCCCCTTTACCCTCACCCATGGCGTCTAATTCTAAAATCGACATTGAGGATGCGACCCAGCATCTTCGAGATATCCTGAAGCTCGGTAACAGCAGCGGTGAGTGAAACCGAGGATGGATGAGAAGCGGTGGTTGGTTTAGGCCGCGGCGGGTAACTTTAGCTACTTGGTTAGCTTAGCTGAAATAATACTCTAGTAACGTGAGGTGTTTGAGCGCGCACAAGTGAAATGAGATGTCTTGACAGTTTGAACAAAAAACTTCAGAGCAAAAATATTAATGTCATGTCACATATTTTAAAACATATTTTTACGGAACGATGAGTTTGCTCAATTGTTATGTAGCAAGGTTATGAAGCTAGCTCCAGCATTTCTAGTTAGCCTCTGGCGAATTAGCCTACGCCGATGTATTTGTTGATGGATGAAAGTTATTATTTTCAGAACATTAACCCTTAATTATTTCTATTATTTGGAATATTGGCCCCATCTTTATTTTTACCATAGCCGATTTACGATTCTAGTCATCGGCGCATTCTTGTTAATTGAGTTATTTGAATGCTAACAAGAATTAGCTAAAATGTTTCAAATTGCGTAAGAATGTCGACATTCCTGGATGTTTTGTTTACACTGCTCTCATTCTTGTTTTTGTTGTTTAAAATCCTTGTCGTTGTGCTCAAAATGGTGGACGGATACAATTTTAGGGAAATTACACATGAAGGAAACACAGTCTAAGTTATTGACTTAAGGGATGTCCACACTGCTACACTGAAATAAGTTATCCTCTCTAATTTTAACGGCACTGTGATTAATATTTCATTTGAACAAATACGTCAGTGTTAAAAGAATAACCCTCAGTCAGTTACTTTATTGGAAACATCTTTAATATTAGAATAAGTGCAGGTACAATGAAATGTATGTTATAGTCTATCCTATAGTTATTCTTTATAAATACTGAGTATTTAGCTGTCTCTACAGGTCTGTGTTTTATGTTCATGGAGTGTATCCTCACATGATAAATGCTATTTTTTTGTTAGATGCGCCAAGTGATGGTCAGAAGATGCCGTCTTTTAACGGAGAGCTGAATGGACTACTGGGGGTAGCAGGCATTCTAGGGAGTACTGAAAGATCAACCATGTCAGAATCTAGTCGACCCATCTCCACAGACATCAGCAGCGCTGAGGAGAATCAGATCATGTAAGAGAACGCTAAAGTTTTACTTCTTATCACATCTAGCACAGAAATATGTGTTGATTTTAAAATGCTTCCTCTGTTCTAGCTGCCTGTCTGGCGATGATGGCTCCACTTGCACACCCATCATCTCTAGCAATGTAGAGATTGTTGCAAGTCAGGACTCCAGCATCAACAGCAAGGCCAGAGGCAGCAACAAGGTGAACACAACAAATGTATTTTCAAAGCACCCGAAACACCTTTTGTGACCAGCAATACATTGTGTATTGCTGTCTAGGGGTGTGTATTGGCAAGAATCTGCTGATTAACTGAGGTTAATTGTCTGTTTTCTTTCAGGTGAAGATTCAGCCTGTTGCAAAGTATGACTGGGAACATAGATATTATTATGGCAGGCTGATAGCCGTGTCAAACTCCTTTCTTGCTTACGCTATCAGAGGTAGGATTCCTACAGGAATTAGTTTATAAAACTGTTGTCCCTTTTCTACCATTAATAAATCAAACATATGCTCAAGTATAAATTATGTCACCTTGTATTTTTTGCTTTGCTTTATTTCATTTTCTTTTTGTATCAATGTATCGTCCACCAGGAGCCAACAACCACGCAATGGTTCGTGTTCTAAGTCTGGGTTTTGCTGAACGATCGCTGCTAAAAGGATTCACTGGAGCTGTCGCAGATTTGGCTTTTGCCCACCTTGACTCCTCTCTGCTGGGTTGCGTTGATGAAGCAGGCAACCTGATGGTCTGGCAACTCACATGCACTGGACTCAAGATACTGTATCCTTGTGTGTGTGGAAAGATCCCAGAGGTTAAATACCCGTCAGCCCACGATGGCAATTATTTTTTTATAATTTCTCTCAAAACACTGATGAAAGAAAATACATAATTAGATGAGTCCTGTCAGTTTTCTTTAACTAATGTTTCTACAGAGATCAGATTGTTGTTCACATCAAACGGCCAGAAGACACTCCTCTAAACTCGCATAGACGTCTCATCTGGTGTCCGTTCATTCAGGATGACAGTGAGGATAACCAGGACGACTCCAGCCAGACTCTGGCTCTGCTACATGAAGACAAGGTACCAATAATGACACACTGTTGAAGAATAAAACTGCTCTTCTCACATAGACACACAATGGTGTTTAGAGATGTCCGATATCAACTTTTTCCCCGATATCCGATTTCTTTCAGGCTGAGGTCTGGGACCTGGAGGTGTTGAAGGCTAACTTCAGCAGTTGGCCTGTTGATGCCACAGAAGTAAAGGAAGGCCGTATCACTGTAAAGGGACACACTCAGGTACAGATCACCATAGTAACTCTAATAATGTCAATAACAATAAAATCTGGGTCGCTGTCCGGGACACTGAACATCATCTCATTCCAGTGTGTCAGTGAAGGAGCCTTGTCTCCAGATGGAACTGTCTTGGCCACAGCTAGTCATGATGGCTACATCAAGTTCTGGCAGCTGTACATAGAAGGAGGACAGGACAAACCCAGGTAAGAGAGCAAGTCATAAACTGTGTTTGTTAACCTAAAAATACATTTTTGTTTCTTAAATTTTCAGTATGTCTGCTCTTCACGCTCCTTCCAGATGTCTCCACGAACTCCGGCCTCACGGAGGGCGACCTCTCTCTTGTCTTCTTTTCTGTGACAACCACAAGAGGCAGGACCCAGAGTAAGTTAACAGAAGTTAGTTAACAGTATCATCGTAATATTATTGTTAGGGACTGTCTTTTTCTTTGCTCACATCTCGTCTTTTTCTTCTTCTATATCTTTGCAGCGTTCCTTTCTGGCGGTTCCTCATAACTGGAGCAGATCAGAACCAAGAGTTGAAGATGTGGTGCACCGTCTCGTGGACCTGCCTGCAGACCATCAGGTCTGAAAATTACACCACTGTATCTGTCCAACATATAGTCACAAAAATGTTTAGACGTCGCCAACATATAGTCACAAAAATGTTTAGATGTCGGTTTCTTGGTTATTTTTTTTTTTTATCAGCATTTCAAACAAACAAAGCAGAACACACAAAACAGAAAACAAACTGTGTGAATGTTGTTTTCTTGTAGGTTTTCTCCATATCCATTCAACCCCACAGCTCTGCCGAGTCTGAAGGCCAGTCTAGATCTTTCTGCCGAGTATCTCATCCTCACTGATGTACAGAGGAAGGTCAGTACAGTGTTGTTGATCAGAGACTTCTGGTTAGTACAGACGTTTTAGAACAAGTAGTATGCTCACAGTTTTCCTACAATTAAATTATAAAAAAAAAAAAAAGTATCATTGTGCCTGTAGTATTGCAGTATATTGCAATATATTGTATTGTTGCTGGTGTATTTTGAAACGAATGGTATCCTCAGATCTTTTTTTTTAATCAATAATCCTTTCAAATATCTGACAGATTGTGGATTGTGACATTTTTCATACTAAACACTTTTTTTATTAAAAACTCACCAGTTCAAAATAAAAAAAAAATATGGACCATCTTCACCAGGTTCTGTATGTGATGGAGCTGCGGCAGGACCTGGAGAAAGGCAAGGCCAGTTTCACCGCTGTGTCCGAGTTCCTGCTCACACACCCCGTGCTCAGTTTTGGAGTGCGGGACGTGACCCAGTGCCGACTGCAGCACACTGAAGTTCTGCCTGCAGAGGAGGAGAGCGAGAGCATGAGCACAGGTGGAGCTTTAAACACACACACCAGTAGTTGTTAAACAAATTGACCTGTAATGGTTTGATCGGTGTCTCGGGAGGTTCATTACTTTAGGAGCGTGGTAGTTATAAGTGGTTCTCTATTGGTGTCAGCATTTTTCTGCCGTATGTAATTGTACTCTGGCAAATGAACTAATTCACTGCCATCTGCAGCAGAGCCGCTGGCTGCTGCGCAACTGCTCCCAGATTGTGTGTGCGTGTTTCAACAAATGTGAGCAGTCGTGGTCGGCGTCTGTCCAACTGAGATGTCGGAACACTCATTGGGAAGCTGTCGGTGCACTTCACTTACTGAGCAAAGTCTTTGCCATTTTAAATATTTAGAATTTCTCCAGACTCAGAAAAACACCGCTGTCACGTCGGTTTGACTTTGTCCTTTGTGGAAGGTTTTAGTAAAAACACTGAATTTAAACCAGGACTGTTTTCATTACACATGTAGCAGCGCTGCTCTAAATAATTAAAACATTACTCTGTGTGTGTGTGTTCTTTTCTTTTTTCTTTTTCAGAGGGCCCTCAAGGACCCACAGAGTCCAAGTCAGGGATCCAGATTAAACTCTACTGTGTTCACACCAAGTAAGTCTTCACCTGACCTCAGCAGAATATGGCTACTATACTGGTTTATTCTGGTCTAATAGAATTAAAGATGTAATTCTATTCAGTTTGTATGAAAAAATATCAAGAAAAACGTTCAAAACTCAAACTCCAAATTCAGCTTCAGTCGTTACTGTTCATCTTGACGGTGTCTTGTAAAAAAAGAGTCGTTATCCATTTGGCATTATGTCAGTCAGAGTGTTAGACCTAGACTGACAGACTTTCCTGACCTCAGTCAGGCTGCTCTAACACAAGCTGGGCCGCCGACCAGAGGTTGAAGCTCCACAAACACATATTGGGAGTTGATGATGGGATTTTAAACCTGAGATGCTTTGGTGGAACAAAAACTTTCCCGGGATTTTAAACCTGAGATGCTTTGGTGAAACAAAAACTTTCCCACAGTATGTCTAAGTGACAACAGTTGTATATTATACATTAAAGCAATGATTATTGAATCATTCTACCTTAGTGTTAAAAAATATTTTTCTGATTAATTCATCAACTTAATCATCGTGAGATAACGCATTCATCAAGATTCACTGGTGAATTTGTGTGTTGTTTTTTTTCCCCCGTTTTCAGGAGTTTGCAGGACGTGCAGATCTGGTTTCAGCCAAACATGTGTTCCAGTTCTGCGGGCTTCCTCCCTCATTCAGATTCTCAGGATGGGTTTGGTACGTCACTGTTCGAACAACTTCTGAAATAACTGCAGCTCTCTGTTCTCCACCTGCTAAATGTTTAAATGAGCTGTTAGGCTGGTGGACATGTTGAGAAGAACTCACTGTCAAACTGCCCCAAGATGTTATCAGTCAACAGTAAAGGAGTAATGCTGCTGAGTACTATATATAAATACTAGTTAAATATTGAGGTGTGTATTTCCCAGAATCTGGTGATACAATACTTATCACAATACAGGGGCTATATATTAGATATATTGATTTTTTTTTTAACCATTTAATAGTAGAAAAACTGTCACCATAGTAAACCCCCAATGCAGTTACATGGTTAACATCAGGTTATATAAACAAATAAAAGAAAATATAGTTTGGCTCAAATATGTCACATATTTAATGAAATATAACTTTGCAAAAAAGTTTTGAACATGAAGTGTTAATGTTTTTTTGTTTTGTTTTTTTGCTTTCAAAATGTATCAAGCAGGCCTGAATATGAACCCCCTATCGTGCCAGTTTTGTAGTATGTTTGTCACCCCTGTGTATTTTAATAAGCAAAGTGATTGAAAATAATATCCCTTATATCATTTATTTGAAAGATCTGAATATGTTTTTTTTTTTTCTGCAAAAATAGCTTAAGCCCTTTTTTTTTGTTTTTACAGGAGGCTTTTCAGACAATCTCACTGACCACAGCTCTGACAAAGACTCGGGGAGTGGCTCCCAGACTGACCTGAGGAAGATCCCACCTCTACCTGCCCCTGCTGACTTCCTGTCGAACTCTGCCACTGGGCCGATGCCCAAACTGATGACACCCGATGCCTTCATGACACCGAGCACTTCAGTAGGAACAAACACAAACATTATTTATGACACTGCATTTCTTGGTTGTGTCTTTTTTTTGTAGTTTTTCGCCGCTACCTCTTTTACTCTTTTAAATCTCATTTCTATCAGTTTATTGCCTTTAAATTTGATCTAAGTTTTGTTTTCCCTCCAGGTCCCAGCTTCCCCCGGCAGCAGTGCCAGCAGCTTGACCATTGTTACTGCTATCAGCAGCAACTCTGACTCTACCAGGTGGGCTTTTGTCAATGTGCTCATTACATGTACATAAAAAGTAAGAAGTTTAAACAGTTTACTCTGATTCTATAGCATTTATTGCTGTACTTCTCTCTCACTGTGTCTCAGAGCTCTTGATGATGTCAGTCAGAGTCCTAACAGAGTGGACAACAACAGCAGCAGCAGCAGCAGTAGTATGACCCTCTCCACCTCCACCAGCAGTCCCAGAGCAGCGTCTGCTGTGCTGCTGCCCGGACTGGAAAACCTACAGGTCGGCTTCCTCGGTTTCCTATGTCTATAGACGTTTGCACTCTCAGAGTCCTTAATATATATGTTTCTCTCTCTCTCTCTCCATACCCAGGCTATGGTCTCTCCAAGTGGACCCCTTGGACTCGACAACTCCCAAGTCCTGGACTCTCCTCTCCTGCCGCCGCTATCCTCTCCGACCAGAGCGCGCTCCCCAGACGTCATCTCCTCGGCCTCCACGGCCATGTCCCAGGACATGCCTGAAATCGCGTCCCAGACTCTGCAGCGTAGCTTAGTGTCCAGCCTGGAGCCTCTGCCACTTTCTGCTCTCCAGACGGACAGCATGGCCTCCGCTGCTTCCGCTTTGCACCTGCTGACCTCACCGCGCTCAGCCAACACTAGGTAACCGCCGTCAACGCTGCCTCAACATCATTTTGTGACAACAGTACCCAAGCCGACCAATCAGTTGCGTTTTTCTGTTTCAGCCTGCTGCCTCTGGAACTAGGAGGAGTTGATGGACCAGGAGGCGGCGCCGTGGAGACAGAACCTAGACTTAGCCACACACCTTCGTTACTGGAAAATGCCTTATCGCAGGAGAACCCCGGAGGTGGAGGAGGCGGCTCCTCTGACGGAAGTGTGAGCCACACACCCTGGCCGGCTGCACCTGACATCACCAGAGAAACCAGGAACAGTCTGAGGGACAACGGCCTAGGAGAATGGTAGGAATCTAAACATATAAATATTTATAAAATTGATCATTTTGATGTATTTCCTCATGATGAGGAAATATTAACTTTGGTAAGAAAGAAACCAGTTAGATTTTTTTTTTCACTGATGAGATTACTAAAACTGGTCCATCACACAGTCTGCTGTGTTGCTGTTTTTTTTCCAATATAGTTCTAAAAGAAATACCCTTTAATTCCTTACCCAGTTCCTGTTTCCTTCCTGCTGTGTTGTAGTTCTAGAGATGAATCAAAGGACAGACACCTGAGTTCGCCGTACCACCGGCGCTCCTATCACCTCCCACAGAACGACAGTCAGGACACCGGTGCAGAGCAGAGGTAACCCACAGACACAGCATCTTCATCGTCTCACTGCAGATATTGCAGGAATACATGCAGTATTCCGTTAATGCTGATGTCAGTCCTATTGGTATTTGCAGTTCATGAAGTGTACTTCATGCTTAAAGGTCAGGTTCTCACGGCTAATTTGTGTGTTAATATTGATTTGCCCTGTTTTTTCCCAGTGACCCTGACGATGAAGTGGCCAGTCTGGCCTCGTCCTCTGGGAACTGCGGCTCTCGATCTTCTCACCGACTCCCTGTCAAAGACTGGAAGACGTCCCCAAGAGCCTCGCCGAAAGTAAAGAGGAAGTCAAAGAAAGAAGACAGGTAGTTTGACGTAATTAACAAAATGGTTCCTATTCTTCAAACCTGAACTGTGATGTGTGTAATTTTGCTTTAAAATAAAATCAGAGTTGATTGAAAGACGTTTGGTCGCGAAGCCCAGACTTCGCTGATAATTTCAAACCAGCAAATATTTGAATTAATTATTGCCTAGTTTACATTCCTAACTAGTATTAATGATATAAACAACGCCTTTAGTTTAATGGCCTTTTTTCCCCCCTGTGCTTAGTGAATCATCTCAATTCAGACAAATGGACTCTGGACAGGTAATTCTTTTTTTTTAAGCCAATTATACCATAAAATATTAAAACATTAAACAAAAAAAATATACACCTTTTTATAACTCATTTTTTCTACGTGCTCATAGGTGAATGCAGAAGTACAGGATGAGTTGTTGATGCTGCTGCGTAGCCAGCAGAGGGAGCTGACAGATCTCCGTGGACAGATAGAAGCCATGCAGAGCTCCATCATGTCTCAGGTGGAGCACGTCCTGTCCAACCACCAGGAGCAAGAACGTATCCTCCAAATTCACCGAAAACTTGCAGTTGTTGTGTGTATTTTAAATTTGAACCCTTTTAAGGTTAAAAAAAAACCTGATAATCGATTGGCCGAGAATGCTGGGCAAAATAATTTAAATAAAAGTACAAGAATAAAATATAATAAAAACTTTGTTTTTGCGATCGATCGACCTTGACCATCGTCGTTCTCAGAGCGCAGACTGGAGCGAGTTCTGGCCGAGAGTCGGAACCACCAGCAGCAGCTTCAGGATCAGCTGAGCGAGCAGCTCGTCCACGCCCTCACCTCTGCGCTCACCAACAGAATGGACAAAATCCTGCGGGAGGAAATGAAGAGAACCGTCCCGCAGAGTAAGACAGAACCAACCGTTTTAAAATGCTTTATTTGAGTTCCATAATTAAGCGGAGAGTTCAGCGGGACGCCGATATGTACAGAGGACTTATTTACACTGAGGTGCAGGGAGCCAAGTGCTGCGCTGAATGTAAGCGTGACTAATCCACATTCAACTCCAGTTCAGAGCCATTGGCCACCAGAGACGGCTGCTTGATCTGTGTCTCACCAACGGCTCCGACCACGCACAGGTTTGAAAGTGTCGTATCTGCCGTTAACACCGTTCTACTGCCTTTACCCAGGAAGCGTCGGTGCTAATGGAGGTGCAATAAGAATAGTTGATGAGATATTAAACCCTCCTCGTATCACTGGGGGATTTTGTAAGGACATTTAATCAACAGCGCGGTCACGTCGTGCAGTTATTTTTTTTTTTATACTCGTTCTTCCGCCGTTTACAAGATGCAGGTTTTGGGTCGTCGTGGTGATTTAATACACAATGTGGACGGCCATTTCCGAAGTGCCATAAAATCAGATTTCGTTAACGTTAACAACATCTGGCAGACGACGTCCTCACCTGCAGTTAAGGTGAAATGAGACACTGTGGTAAAAGTTTTCACTGCCCACCTCCATCTGAGCCAGAGCCTCTTCACTTGTTATGCTCTACGGAGGTGTAAACAGGAAGTAAATACCCCCCCCACAACCTCCCGATCTATTTCTTTCTGTTAGGCAGGCTCTCAAGATTAAAGATACTTTTAACCCAAATTATCCAGACATATTTGACTCAAAAGCATCTTTAAAAGTAAAACATTTTAGGTTTGGAATTCATTCTTGTGTTTTAATCTTGACTCAACATAACGAAACAAAACAAAACAAAAAGACAAACCAATTTCAGTAAGAACATCCAAAAAACAGTTTTTACATTCAGGGCAATATCTGTAAGAATATCTAAGCTCTGCAGTATGACTTGCACTGTTATTTGTAAAGTGAGACATTTATTTTTGGGCACAAATCGAAACCATGTCTGGACCATACCTTCATTGACTGTAGATCAGCCCGACAACAGATGATGACATTCAGCAGTGCGATAGTCCTGCATTTAAAAAAAAAAAAAAAAAGTTTAGTAAAAATTTCACAGAGCAGCAATGTGGCAGTGACACTGACAATGTTTCTCAAAACAAATGTCTAAAACTCAGACCAGGCTGTTCATCAATAAATCAATAAAGACTGGGATCAACTCAGGCTTAGGTTGAATTAAACATCACCCATTCAGCTTAGGACTTTTTTTTTTGGCCGGTGACACTAAAAGTCGACCGTCCTTGGAGAGATATTATCACGACTCGCCTCTCCTGCCCCTTTAATACCAGGATAAGTTGTTCCCGTTCTTCTCGGCTGCATCTTTGATCACTCTTTCGCTCTTGTTAATCTGTCTTCTTAATTCTGTGCCGTCTTCAGCGATCTCCAAGAGTCTGGAGCCCGTGACAGGTCAGCTTAGCAACACCATCGCTGCCAAACTGACGGCGGTGGAGGTGACCTTAAAGGACAATGTCAGCAAAGTGGTCAAATCAAAGGTGGGTGGAGAAACGACCCAACACCCCGACCCCCGCCCATCATTGCTGTGTTTATTTCTTGTTTGTTTGTTTTTTCGCCTCTTGAACATGAATGTCTCCTGTTGCTGCCTCTTCCCCAGAACACGACAGACGCCATTGGTCGAGCCGCCGCCGAAGCCATGCAGGGGCCCATCCAGGCGGCGTACAAAGAGGCGTTCCAAAGCATCGTGCTTCCTGTGTTTGAGCGAGGCTGCCAGTCCATGTTTCAACAGATCAATGACAGCTTCAAACAAGGCACCCAAGAATGTGAGGCGACCTTGTCATACCACAAAAACCCATGTAGTCGACAGAGAGTGGGCCAAATATAGAAAACATTCTAAAGACACTGTGTCCTGCAAAACGAGGTCCAGTTAAAATTACTTTAATTGCATTTTACAAGTGGTTGGACTGGACCTTCAGAGATGCTCTGGTGCCTCTTGACCATGTTTTCTATTATGACCATAACTGAATGCTCTGCTCATACCCTCCCTCCCCACCCCAACTATGAAACCCTGAAATAAGTGTCTGTTTATTCACAGTTCTTATTTTACACTCGTCTCTTTTTAAAATCCTCAGGGACAGCTTTTATAATGAGACACATTTCTGACATCCGTTTCCTCTCAGCCTGTTCACACACATCAACAAAACGTAGTTTTTCATTTTTCGTTCTTATGTTTTGAAGAACAGCAACCACAAAATACAGTTTCACCAATAGCTGACAAAATATTAGCCAAACGGTAACGGCTAAAATAATGCTACATGTCCGCTAGAGAATCTTCCAAGACAAAGGTTAAATTTACTAGCGATGTCCGATAACATCAGCCGACCAATACTATCGGCCCGATATTAGCATAATTATGATGTTTTCCCTAATAATAGTTTGGGGTGAAAAACGACTGTATATAAAAGTAAAAGTCACTAGATGGCAGCATTGCAGCTCATTTTTTTAATCTATTTTAATAATCACGGGATCAAATGCAGAAACTTTTGTCCCCTAGGGGGCACCACTAAACTTACTTAACCACCAGACCACCACTGCCTCGATGTATTGGTATCGGAAATTGAGTGTTTGGACAATATCACCATAACGGCAAAAAGTTAATGTCGGACATCAATACAATTTACCACTAAGATAATTAAATGATAGCCATATATATAGGAATCATACTCATGGTTGCAGGGTAAGTCTGAAAAGTCGCTTGAATTTGACTTGGAAAAATGTGTATGAACCCTGAGGAGGAGCAGTTGTCGGAGGTGCAGCTCAGTTTTTTTTAAACACTAACTTTAACTAATGTCAAATATTGAGAACTTGTTCTTCCTGGTCTTTACAGACATCCAGCAGCTGGAGACTCACATGAAGAGCAGGAAGCAGAGGGAGCTGGAGGCCCGCGACCCCATGGTTGGTCAGCTCCAGCAGATGATTGACAGCTTCCAAACGTCCACCGACCAGCTGGCCAGCAACATCACGACTAACATCCGCGCCGAGGTCCAGCACCAGATCCAGATAATGATGGGAAAGTACGTATGGCTGCGGTTCCTTTGAACGGCTTCTCATAAGAACCTCGTTGGTTGCTTGGTTGGTAAACAGCGGAGACGCCGTCACTCGGTGTCCTCTTGACCTTTGTGTCCTATATATGTGTAGAAACTAAAGCATCAGGCTGTTGACTCACTCCACTCCCCACGTCTGATTAAAATTCTGCGCTGATGTTTTTTAATACCTGCCTGATATGCATATCAGGGGAGGCCTGTGCCAGCCGCCCTGGCCTTATTCACTGCCTATTGAGCAATTGTGTAATAGATTGCAGAGCAAAAACAAGCAGAGCTTAATCCTGGGGCTAATGTTAGAACATCAATTCGATCCAGTCTCTCGCTCCCTCTGCAATTAATTTCACGGCCTCTACAGAGTTTATACGTTTGTTGTGGGTGGAGCACGAAGCTGGATCGTGGACCAAACACGAACTTTCAAAACCTGGTTAGGAGCCGAGTCAAAAAAAAAAAAAAAATAGAAGAATGTAATAAACTTTTCATTGATGCATTACTTTACCACAGTTTGCAGGAGTCTATTCTCAGCCACGTGCAGCGAATCGTCAAAGGGGAGGTGAGCCTGGCCATGAAGGAGCAGCAGGCGGTGGTCACCTCCAGTATCATGCAGGCCATGAGGTCAGCGGCCGGCACGCCCGTCCCCACGGCACACCTGGACTACCAGACGCAGCAGGCCAACATCCTGCAGCTGCTCCAGCAGGGTCAGGTCAACCAGGCTTTCCAGCAGGTAACAGGCCGTGGGTTAGGTTCTCTGTCTGAACCAGTGATGCTAAGGTTAGGGTTCCAACTCGGGATGTTCAATATTAATTTTTTACCGATATCTGATGTTGTCCGAACACTTAATTTCCCAATTCTGATATCAACGGATATAGTGGGGCCAGTGTTGGCCTGGTGGTTAAGGAAGTTGAGTGCACTATGGTTTAGAGCAGTAACTTCAATATTCTACAACAACGTATGGATTTTTTTTAATTCAATTACCTGTCAATTATTCATGGCATTGGTTCATTTTATTTTTCTTTTATTTCTTTTCTGCTGATTACAAATGTAGATCCTTTTATGACTACAATTAAATTATTTTCTTTTTAAAAAACTCATATCATCGTGCCTAAAGTATCTGACTATATTGCAGTATACGGTATTGTTGCCCAGGTTTCTTAATAAGTATTGCATTGCCAAATTCTTGCCGATACACACCTCTAGCATCTCTGCAGTGTTTTGACTAAAGAGCTAGATTGAATATCAGATATTGTTGATGATGATACTGTTCTCACCTGAAAAAAAACCTCTTAAAAACATTTGTTAATGTTTGCTGTCTTTATCCTCAGGCCCTGTCAGCGACAGACCTGAACCTGGTCCTGTACGTGTGCGAGACCATCGACTCTCAGCAGGTGTTCGGTCAGCATCCCTGTCCACTCAGCCAACCCGTGCTGCTGTCGCTCATCCAACAGCTGTCATCCAACCTCTCCACCCGCTCTGACCTGAAGATCAGGTGAGGACACACTTTCACCTTCGTTTTATATTGAAAGAAGACTAAACTTGGCCGTACTAGATCATCTGTCAGGGGTCGTTTTAGACTGGGGATCCAGCCAGGGTTACCACAGCTTCACTGAAGTTTTAAGCGAAACTCAAGACCAGTCAACGACGAATCCTAATATTTTTCCATATTAAAAAAAAGTAAAAAGTCCTGGAAATGCTTCAATTGTCAAGAAATAAAATAACAGGCTGTAGAAATAATCAGCAGCGTTTTCCTTTCACAAGTTGTTGTCACTTCCTGAGCTGCACCTCGTGAACGTTTCCCGCAAAAACCCGTCACCTGCTCAGCCCTCAGTCAGTAACAAAGGCAGTGTTTCTCCCTTCCATCTCCAATGTTCTCCGTCTCTTCCGAGCGCTAAACAGTGTTAAACTGCTGACCCCATCGCTGTAGCTGTGCTGGGGGATCAGCACAGATCATCTTCTGAAAAGCTTGTTTTTTTATGATGCTCTCCATTCTGTTCTCGTGTCCGTGTCTTGTTTACCCTGTTTTTTGCTGCGGTTCTTTTGACCTTTCACATCTTTTTTTTTTATCCCTGAACTGATAGAAACAGTTTAGATAAGAAAGAAAGAATCCATTAAAGTGGAGCAGGAGGAGAAAACATCTCTGAGAAACGGTGTCTTTTTTTTTTTTTAGTCTGTGTGTTTACGCTCATATCCACATGGGTGAACTGCGGCCAGTAACGTGATCAAGGACAGGGTTTTGAATTCAATCAGAGAGTCAGGGCTGTCAGCTGCTCTCAGGGTCCTGACGCCGTCTTCCACAGCGTGTCCTCGTCCTGCTGTTGAACCTGAGAGAACTGAGTCTGTGTCCATATATAAATCACAAACTACTACAGACTGTTATGTTCAGTAAACTGATGTTATTATATGGAGAGCTCCGAGGCAGGAACCAAGAGAGTTAGCGTTGACGTCGGCAGTCTTAATCGTAGCGATGGACCATGAAATCCACACTGTCTGCAAAAACCGCAGAGGGAAAAAAAACAAAAAAAAAAACAAGCTTTGACAACAGCGCTGTGAATAAAATCCATGTTGCTGTTGCTCTAATACACAGACAATACACACTTTGTTATTTACACATGCTGCTGAGCAAAGTTTTTTTTGTTTCCCAGCATGTGTTTGTGGAGGCTTTAAATTCAGACCAGATTCAGTACATTAACAATACAGTATATGCACATATATGTGTATATGCATGTCTATATGTGTGTATATATATATATATATGTACATATATATATACACATAGACAAATTTCATCAAGTAGGCCAGATTAAACCCCTTAGCGGGCCGCCTTTGGCCTGCGTGCCTTATGTTTGACACTCCTGGACTTAAACAAAAAAACAAACAAACGAGACACTGGTGTTTTTCCAGACGTTAACTTTTTGAAGCTGTGCTCATGTCGGCATGGAGGACGAGTCCAGATATCGAGGACACTTTTGCTGCGGTCCCTGCTGGTTTTTCTGACCTTGTGTCCTCCACTGTTACTGTGTCACCTCTTTGTCTCTCTTCTCTTGTGTCCACACACACGCAGCTACCTGGAGGACGCCGTGATGAACCTGGACCACAACGACCCGCTGACCAGAGACCACATGACGGCCGTGTTGGCTCAGGTCAGGCCCAAGCTCTTCACCTTCCTGCAGCACGACCCTCACAGCCCGCTGAGCAAGAGGGCGCGGCGTCTGCTGATGATGCTGCAGGGACTGGTCAACCACTAGTCCTCGCCCGCTGGAAGTGTGGTGCCGAGCCGCCGCAGGATCTCCGTCTGGTTCTTCTGTTGGAGCACGCAGAACTACTTCAATCCATGTTCACGCCGTTTGCCGCGGGATTGAGGACTGAAGGTTTTGGAAAGAAAGTTAAAAAACAAAAAACAAAACAACAAAAAAAAAAGAAGTCTACCAGTCCTTCATTTCTTAGTTTTACTTTTATCGTCCGTCCTCCGCCTGAAAGAGTCAAACATCGAGGTAGGAAGTAGACTGTTTTGGTTTGATTTCCAGTCAGTGAAACAGGAGACAATGATTGTCTGGATCCAGAGATCGTCTGCAGAAGAGACTCTTCAAGTTCACCGTAGATTTCAGCAGACCTTCGTCGTCATCATCATCATCATCATTATCATTATCATTGCTGCTGCTGCTGCTGTTCTGTGGAAACATTCAGCCTTTTGTCTTTATCCAGAAGCAAACGATTGTCCCCGGTGAGGTCAACCAGACTCTGGTGATGGTCTCCTCAGTCCAGGAGAAATTTTTTTTTTTTTTTTAAACTGTCACCTACAGAAAGTGTGTCCAACCTGTCCACACCCACTGAGGATGCTTCACTTCCTCTGACCACTGACCGGACAGGGTCACAGACACAGAACAAGAAGGAAACGTGGCCTCGTCAGAGTTTGATGGCTGCAGCAACGCAACATCTCTACGTTTAGTTCCTCTAAAAAAAAAAAAAAAAAAAAAAAGTTTTTAAGAGTATTTTCCTTTCAGTTTCTGCTCATTGGTGCAGTATATGGCCAGATCAGTTCTCCGTGAGGATCAACCGTTCTTTTGCTGAAACGCAACATTTTTCTTCCTCGTGTTCAAACCTATAAGAAAACGACGGCAACAACAAGAAAAACTCTCTTTATTATTGCCTTTTCTTTCGACCTTGTCTTCACAAATCCCTCAGATCCTGACGGAAACAAATTGTGACTAAATGAGAGGGAATTGGTTTCGAAGGTTGATAAATATCTGTCAAACTGAATCGTTACTGTCTGAATAGCGCCCCCTCTCTTTTTATATATAAAATTAATGACATTTAGTATTTGTAAGACTCGTATACTTGCTTTAAAACTAGTTCCAAACAATTCCTGAACACTAGTGTTTCTGCTGATTGTTTTTTTTTTTAAAGGGTGTAGTTACTCCTCACAGACTGCAGGTGGCAGTGTTTCTTCAGCCCGCGGGTAGTGCAGCCTCAGTTGGTGGTTTCAGTTGATGCAGTCACTCGTCATTCCTGGTTTGGAGTGTGTTGGTGTCAAACTGGTTGGTGATTGACGGGTGTACGAAAAAAACAAACCACAACAAAAAAATATACAGTATAACAATAATGTGTTCGTTCACCACGTGAGGAACGTGTTCGCGGTGGGTTCTGTGTAGCAAGTGCCTTATTGTACTCGACCTCGTTTTGGACTTGAGTCCCCGTTTGGGTCCTTAAACGTTCAGGCTTCGCCCCCCCAGCGGTTCCATTTAACGTTGAAACGCTTCTTTTGTTTTCATTTTAAGAAATAAATACTAAGGATAATAACAATAAAGTGTGGTTGGATCCGAGTTCATTCTGCAACAGTGACGTGAGAGGAGAAAAAAAAATCCTGTTGTTTTTTTGTTGTTGTTGTTGGTGACTGTGGAGGAGGAGATTGTAGTGATGTTTGACTGAGAGGAACTTCTGTCACTGTTTCCCTCTCACCTGATTATGTTGTGTAACTTTTACAGTTTGTTTTACCCCAAACATTTTGGAATAAAAAAATAATGGTTCAATTTTCTATTTTGTCTTGATTTAAGTGTGATTATTTCACTACAGTCCTGAGGGAAATATGAAAAATATTTTTACACAACTACTGTATATATATTAAATCTTTTAGTGTGTTTTTATTCCAAGCTTAAGATTTCAATATGAAACTTTTAAACTAATTTTGTAAACTTTTTGTATTCATCTTTTTTTTTCTTTTCACAAAAAGTACAATAGCTAAAGTATTAGTCTCAAAGAAAACAAATTAAATTTCCTTTGTGTTGTTATACAGAGCTGGGAGATTTTAAAACGTGATACTTATTATTTTAAATACAAATATTTAAATGTTTTAGGGCCCTACAATTCAAGTTTTTTTTAACAACAAAAAAAAAAACCGTCAGTTATTAGCTCTCAATGGTCAGGTAGTAAAAGCGGATGTGGAGATTGGTGGTGTAACCGGAAATAGGGTGACCATAACTGCCGAGAGGAGGAGAAGAAGAAGAAAATGTAAAGTACAATTAATTTAACGTCCGTAACTAATAAGAATGTCTTTCGTAAACTTCGGAAATAGCTCAGAAAATATTTATATTAGATACCAATAATTACATGGTGACGTTGACGTTGTCCTCGTCACGAATCCCTCAACTTTGCCAACTTCCTGCCAACGGTTCTGTCTTTTAGCGGCGGTTATATCCAACTTTATACGTCACTTTATTTTTGAGATAATTCTTCTTCGTCTCATAATTTACCATAAACACTGTTATTTTACTGGGAAAATGTACAAAATAAAAATCACAACGCTATATATTTTAATGTTAAAACGTTTTTTTTTCTCACACGGAAAAAAACTGCGGTTGACTTCAGGGACATATTAAGAGGCCATCTGTCATTTATCGCCCTCTGTTGGTTAGTTTAGGCACTGCAGCTGTGCAGCAGAATGCCACTCACGTCTGGTTTGTAATTTCAACTGATTAGATGTTTGTCTTTCGGAGGCCGTTTGTAGACACGGTTCCTCAGGCTGCAGCCGTCATTCCAAGTGAGACTTCAGGGAGTTTATTCCATATTTTTGTGAACGTTATTATTATTATTATTATTATATAATGAGGAAAAAACAGGAGTGAAACAAAGAACAAACACGGTTTTAATGTGTTTTTTATGCCCAGAAAACTATGAAAAATATGATTTTCTAACTAGTTTAAACCACTACAACGTCCAAGTATTCCTCATGGATTAGATTGAATCTGGGAATTTCCCAATATTCCTCATTCTTCTGCATCTGCATCTGTTTTTTTTTAGTTTTTTTTTTTTATGTGAACTCTCGTGGGTTGGAGTAAAACACTAATGCACCATTTATACCACCCAGGTTTCACCTCGGCTCAGCAGGGACTGCACACCTTCGTTCTGCTCCTCCCCCTCCTCCTCCTCTCTCTCCTCCTCCTCCTCCTCTTCCTCCAGCGCAGGAGAGCGCACAGTGGACTCTTCATCACCGGAGTACAGAAGCTGCACCAGGAACAGGAGGAGAAAAAAAAACCCACCCAGGATAGGACTGTGGAGGAGGGCGTTTTTTTTAAAAAAAAAGATAAACATTAGGGTTAAAATAATACATTTTTTTATTTTATTTATTTTGTTGTTGTTGGGATTCCGGTGCCGACCTGAAAGTCTCGGAGGTCGAAGGACGAAGTTTCCATCCCAGCATGGCTTCCCTGATGAACTCCGTGTGTCTCCTCTTCCTGCCTGTTGCTCTGCTCCTCAGTAAGTGATGAATTATTATTATTATTGTTTTGTTATTTTAATCCAAATCACAATAAGTTGTTGTCGAGTTGAACGCGCAGCAACTTGAAGAACGCGCCGCTTCGTGCGTAAACGTGTGCGGCAGCCGCAGATCCTCAGCTGTTTTTTTTTTTTTT